AAGAAACACAATGAATTAACCTACGTCAGTTACACAAAATAATAAAAAATGAGTCGAAAGTAGCTCAATTTCTGAGTTCTGTACAAATTCATTTTACTAAAGTTGGTTGACATATATTTTCTCACAAGAAATCCGTAGTACCATTTATAGTATCATTGATATTTGCGGGCGTAATATTATAAGGCTAAATAAATAGTTATATTCTTTAATACCAAGGTGTTATATTAAATTGTTTTCACTACATGCAATTCATGAAATATGAACCTATTTTCATTATGAAATCATGTCTTTTTTGAATTCTAATTAAAATCTAGTAGCCATGATTCGAAAACCCCGCTTGGAGCTAGAGCCGGTATGTTCAGCAGAAAACCGAAGACGGAATTCTCAGTCAATCTCGGCAAGTATGCTACAATCTTTCAGGCGGAGGTCTTCGCAATTGAATTGTGTCCTAGAGAATTTACTAATAGCCCTCTAGACATCAGTATTGTATCAGACAGTGAGGCTGTTCTTAAAGCACTGAGCTTCAGCAAAATAAATTCCATAAGCTTGTTTGGAGCTTTATTGAATCTACCTAGAATGCCTGGGTGCTAAAAACGTCAGAAGACTCCAAAATGATTAACACAGCGCCCTGTATGATTATTTCTCGTTTTCCTTGACGTCCCTACGGGTATATAATTAAGTACGACTGCTATCAATAATCCAAGAATTTCATCGAACCACCATAGATGTTCGTCATCAGACCCATTAATTTTTTAACAACAAGGTATTGAAAAAAATCCATCAATATCACTCGGTATCGTTGGAATGGATGAATCCAATAGCCTTGTACTTCGACTTCGATAATAGCACAAACAAGTTCGTATAAATGACGTTGAAAGCCATATTATGAGTAGGTATAAGGATCTACGGAAGAATGAAAAAAAAACGATCAAAAAAACAACACTTCGGGAAGTCTGCTATTATATACCTGTTTCAGACGTTGAAACAAGTGTTTTGAAAGAAAATAAAAGTAACTAACACTGTTCCCCAAATCGCCAACAATGTCTCTACACCTTTTTGACCTGTCGTGGAATGAAAAATACGAGGTAAAATATATTGGATTCAGCATGCTTCCAATAATCAGTGTCTTCATCACTATTATTAAATAACAATTTCCTTATCATGCATACATTCCTATATATTTCAAACGTACTAAATTAAAACTTTCAAATGCAGTTACACCAATATACAGGGTCTCTATCTATTGAATGACCGTTTATATATTCTATTGATTTGCCGCTTTTCACTTGTGAAGATCGAACTATAACACGTTCGATCGCTTCAACATGCTTCAATGGGGGAAATACAGGGTCGCTGATATGTATGGAAACAGGTGAATATCTCGGCAATCTGTTGTTAGATTTTTTTGAATTTATGTACAGTGTGATTTCAAAACGTGGTGGATTTGAAAATGTTATAGCCTCTGTTGCCACTTTTTCAGTTATTCCGGATTTTTAGTAACTTCCTTATTTTGAATGAAACGCCCTGTACTTTATTGGATTTCCAGATTCTCCTTGGAGAGCTGATTCCATCGATCTATCACACTTGGGGTCGAGCGGGAATGATTACATAGGTATAGGGTGTTTAAAATCTAGGTTTTTCAACTTCAAGATTTTTTTGTGTAGAAACTATCCATTATCGATCAAAACCGCTTCAATGTTCCTATCTTCACTTTTGATTTACCATCTACTGACTATTTAATTGGAACAGATACAGAGGGTGATCAGAATTCTGAATCTTGAACCACCCTGTATTTGTTTCAATTAAATGTCAGTAGATAGTAAATCAGAAGTAAAGATGGGAACATTGGAGCGGTTTTGATCGACACAAAAAAATACTAAAGTTGAAAAATCTAGATTTTAAACACCCTATACCTATGTATTCATTCCTGCTAGACCCCAAGTGTGATAGATCGATGGAATTAGCTCTTCAGGGAGAATCTGAAAATCCAATAAATTACAGGGTGTTCTATTCAAAATAAGGAAGTTAATAAAAAATCCGGTATAACTGAAAAAGTGGCAACATTGGCTATAACATTTTCAGATCTGCCACGTTTTGAAATCACACAGTACATAAATTCAAAAAAATCCAACAACAGGTTACCGAGATATTCACCTGTTTCCATACATATCAGCGACCCTGTATAATTTGCTGACCAAAATCATTAAAGTATGCTGACCAAGCATTTCTGGTTCGAATTTCCATTTCAAATTGCATATTTCAATATTTTATATGAATATATAGATGCGATCAGTAAAATAATTCCGATCTACCCCTTCGGAGTTTGGAGGGGTAGTTTATTCTTGCAGTTTTTGAAATATCCTTGCTACCAGTGGAGTTATTTCGATCCACCCCTTTAGAGGAGTAGTTTATTCTCACATTTTTTCTAAAATCCTTACTGACCGAGCATTTTTGGTCCATATTTTTCCATCAAATCACCCCCTGAATGGGCAGATATGAGATATCCAAATTATGTAATTTGATGGGAAAATACGAACAAGAAATGCTCGGTCAGCAAAGAATTTTGAAAAACTGCAAGAATAAACTACCCCTCTGAAAGGGTGGATCGAAATAATTCCACTGGTGGCATCTATTTATCTTCATTAGATATTCAAATATGCAATTTGAGAAAATTCGAATCAGAAATGCTCGGTCGGCATACTTTAATTTTGGAAAGCAAATTATACATGCACCCCCCTTCAATGTAAATGCCTGTAAACAATTGCAGTGAGCGGCACTATTTCAACGACCATGATGCTACGATCATTCATAGAAACCCTGTAGAAATTGATTGATTCTTGATGACAAATGTGTCAAATTGATTTTCAACAGTGATACAAAAGATTGCATTTTCATAAGTAATATCACGATGTTCTGAATCTTCTAGATAATTCTGTCGCTTAACAATGAAAGACAGAATTATGAAAACATTTCCAGAACAGAGTGGTATTTTGCTAGACTATTTAACGTTCACGAAGCATAAAAAGCGTTTACTATAAATGAGTGATTCATTCGGACAAGTACAGTCATAATTATTTCATGCGAATTTCAGAAAAATCACAAGATTATTTGTAATTTTTTTTTTTTCAATGAAAAATGTATTGATTTGATTTAACCAATTGAAATATTCATTTTTTCAATGCAGCGGTATGTCCTATGTACACCATAGAGACAAAAAGAGAAAATCCCAAAAATGTAGAGACATGAATATTCCACTTCCTCGATTAGGATAGTATTTGAATACTAGCAAAGTAGTTTAAGGTTCGTTAACTTCTCCATTAAAATTCGATAATAAAAACTAATTATGAAGATATATATATATACATGTACCTATTGATTTTAGTATACTCATTGGCCTAGATCAATAAACAAAAGTTTTTCAATGATACAAATTTCCGCAAAATGTTGAATATTGAAAACGGGAGCAGATTAAATTCCCGAAACGGGCAAGGTGAAAATTTGATATATCTTCAATCTATCTATATTCCACATCTTCAAACATTTTTCAGAACAATTAGTAGAGAAAATCACAAATATTCTACAGAAATGAACATTTCAACTGCTCCTCGATTAATTATTATTATCTTAAATAGATTCATCACTCAAATACCTTTCAATCTCATATTTTTTCAGATATTTTCGGTCGGTTTTGAGGTGCTGAAATTATCAATAATGCCACGGTGAATTTCAAACGGCTAGAAATTTACCGCAAGTAAAAACTGACGTCACGATTTCGTTAGTAAGGGCAGATACCCATATTGTAAAAGTATATCAAAAATAGCTATTCCGCCATCTTGGATGGTCCGCCATATTGGATTTAGAATAACGTCACATTATTTTTTGAATTACTCTCAACGAGCCCTTTCATTTGATACCCATAGTGTAGAAGTAGATTAAAAATGACCATTCCGCCATCTTGGATGGTCCGCCATATTCGATTTAGAATGACATCACATCATTTTTCGAGTTACTCTCAATGAGCCTTTTCATTTGATACCCATATTGTAAAAGTATATCAAAAATAGCTATTCCGCCATCTTGGATAGTCCGTGTATACAAAATTTCCGCTCAATCGGTTGAAAATGTCTACTTCAAAATTGAGTTCAAAGATTCCACCCGAACATACATCATACAATCATACATCCATACAAACATACAATGCAAGTTAAATAATAGTTATTTAACCAACTAGTGTATTAATGAGGACGATTAATGATCGAGATATTTTAACGTGCGAGCGAAGCGAGCGCGTTAATGTTCGAGATAATTAATCGCCTTTTAATATACAAGTTGGTTACAAAATTTTTCCGTCGACTATATTTCTCATTTCTCCTGCAATGAAGAAAACTTCGTTCGCGAATTCATCATCCATCTGGAAACTGCTAAGCATCACCCAGTAGCCTTGTTACTGACATTAGTGTCATTTGACATTTGTCGAAATGATCAACATAGGAAATAAATTCCTTATGTTAGAAAACAGGGATTAAAATCGTGTCAGAAACTTGGAAAGGCGAACCCGTTAACGGAAAATCGTCGATGAAATCCATATTTTCGATTTAAATGCAGATTCCGCTAATTATAGCATAAACAATGAATGCACGCGGTGTATGTTTGGTTGCTTATAAAACAATCGTACATTAATAGACAAATCGTTCATTAATAGGGGTCATTAATGAACGATTTCATATACATTAAACTTAGTCGTTAATACGAGGTCGACGGAAAAAGCTTTTAATTAATCAAAAAGCGTGAGAGGTGTTGTAAATTTGATTAAGGTCCCTAACGACACTGAAGAAATGAATGCTGATAATTTATTATCAGTCCACTCGCCCGCGCGATTTCCTTCGAAAAATGAAAATTTCCTAGTGTCAAAAAACCACTCACAACACACTAGTATTTCCCCTCAAGTATACTTTTCCCTGAACCTGTTTTTCATTTTCGTTTCTATTCCAGGCTGAAGAATGAATGAAGGTCCCAGCGACCTCGAACTGCGCAGGCGGCAGTTCAAAGGCCAAATGTCCACTGTCAACACCAGGAGGCAGCAGGCCGTGTGCGTCAGAAGGGCCTACAAAAGATACGGCACCAAGAGCAACCCTTACGTCATTCTGGACGGTTTGAACATGACAGTGCCAAAAGGATGTATGTAAGTATTGGGTTTTATAGACATTTCTGAAAAACTGTGATTAATAGAAGTTTTCCAATTTGAATTCAAAACACGTAAAAATCCACTTTTTAATGGGATTGTATTGGTAGGTAACTTCCAAACCACGGTATATCTATCTCGTAAGAGGTTATACAGAGTGTATCTAAATAACACCGAAAACATTCTAGGGGTGATTTCTTGTGATATTCTATTAAATAAACTTGATATAAACATCTGTCCTGACTTGCTCCGTTTTTGAGATACAGGGTAATTATATTTCCATGAAAAATCGTTTTTTTATTTATTACTCAGTTGTATTTTCATCAATTTCAATAAAACGTTGTGGTTTTGTTAATATGAAGGTTCTTCATTGGGGAAGACCACTGAGAGAAGAAATCCGTGCAAACCTCTTTCAATCGACGAATCATGATTCACGTTTAATGTACAATCAATATTATGAGTTGAAGGGAATCGAATCTATATCGTTTTGAATTCAGCATATTTCATTCGATATTTCAAATAGCCAAATATGATGGTGGAGCCGTGACGTATTCTGTGGTATTAGTCCCCAGCTGTAGCTATCTCTCTCTGATACCTCGTCATTCTGCAGTGTTGCAGCGTGATTGGTCAGTTCAAGGACAAAAAGCGTGTTGGGACTAAGACGTCGCACCAGTCACACCAATGAATTGACAAAATCTCAAATAGCACAGGAATTGTGTGTTTTGAAATGGACATATTCTAATTTATTTTTTTCACCGTCTTAGCATGAATTACAAAATTCAAAATTAATTCGCTGGTAGTTTTTCATTATAGAGTTCACGATAATGTCGTTTTAAAAAATCAGTGGTCTCCCCCATTAGATTCGAAATAATATTTCCAGTGGCGTCACAGTGGGTAGATTCATCGATATTTATGATGAATATGATTAATTTTGTGTGAGAATGTTTGCGTTGTTTTTTTTATTTTGTTGGAAATAGGCTACTTATTGGAGCAGCCATTTTTTTAATTTCAACAAGATTTGGTCCGATTCCATTCAAAATTGGTGAGTGGGGATTTTTGAGGTCGGAGAACATGATTTTTTTGTTGAAATTTATAAATTCAAGATGACGACTTCAAAATAATGATTTGTTTTTGTATGAATGACGATAACTCCGTTGTTATCAACACAAAACTATTACTGCGCCATATCATCTGTAAGAGAAAAGAAAGTTATTTGTAACTAAGTCAAAGTGAGCTATGACCTACATTTGAAAAACTAAAGTTGGTGCTGATATCTCAAATTCTATTATTGGTATAAATTTCATATTTTTTTCGAAATCACTTTGAAAAACTGCCATGAGAATGTGAAATTCCTATTTGAATATTTTCATAAATATAAAGAAGTTACGGAGGAGACATGAAAATGATCAAAATCTGTTTTTTTGCGTATAAAACAAAAACGAATAGATTTTATCAAAATATTTTTCCACATTATAGTTGGCCTTGACAAACTCCACATTTGGTGTCATTTAACCGACCTCGTATCTCTCACCGTTAAAAAGATACCCATGGTGAGCATGGTAAGTGGGACACCCTTTCTTGGAATTCGTATAGCATAAAAGAAATCTATCTGAATTTTTGACAAGGTATTTACTGATGGAATAAATATCGAACTGGCAACCCTGGTCAGCGCGGAGGTTGAGTTGACAACAACTGTCATTTGCTGTTGTCAAATTAATTATTCACGAAATCCGATAGATTTCACGTATGGAATGGCCCCGATATGAATATAAGTGTTTGGGACAGAATCCAGGGGCATACCCAAACAAACATTTTTTTCGGAGTTTGTGTTCGATTTCAAATGTCAACGTGTTGCTAATCAAATGAAAACAAAAAAGTGAGCCTTCTCGCTCTAACACACTTATGTATTATCCCGCTCTCTCTCTCTCTCTCTTTTTCGTCCAATATTTGACAGATATAATTCAATATTCTGTGGCATCAGCCAAAAGAGTAGTTGTTTTCAGTTAAAATTTCAACAATAATTTTCTTGCTAGATCTTATTACTAAGAGATCCAGGATGAACAGAGTTGCCCCAGTTGTCAGCAGGAGCGAGACAGTACTGTTTCAACCCACCAGGTCTCATCAGCCGCTCTCGGTCTGCTGACAACTGGGACAACTCTACGCTTCGGGTATATCACCCATTTCGAAGGACGCAGGGTATAACATGAAGCTATAGTCTTGTTGTAGCCATCTGGTGGCAAAGCTCTAAGGTGTAAGATCCAGAGATCTGATGAGACCTGGTGGGTCGAAACAGTACCGTCTCGCTCCTGCTGATAATTGGGGCAACTCTGTTCATCTTGAATCTCTTAGTTATGACATGTAGCAATTGAACAGGTCGGTGTATAAATCCACTCAAGTATGTCAGGTAGTGCCATCTGTCAGCAGAAAGATTTACTTGTTGTACCACTCTGTAGCGTATAGACGTAGGGATCTGTACTTGTGACTATAGATGGCAGCGCCATACAGTGTGTGTCGCGATCTTTGGATCCTACCTCAGAGCTTTGCCACTAGATGGCTACAACATGACTACAGCTTACCCTGCGTCTTCGAAATGATTTTCTTATTTTTGAAGAAACAATTGAATAGACTATCAACACAACGAAATCTTATATTCTAGGCATGATGAAAATAGACTGGTGTAACCACTTGTCAATTGTTTTTTTCCAAAACGTGTAGACCGCGAAACACCGTAGCAAGGCCGCACTGGATTGATTGTAGATGGCGTAGGGAACATCGTGCCACATAAACTTCACAGATATAATGAAAATTTCACGTCTTTTTCATTAAATCAATCACTTTTTCTCAATGTTTTCGAATTACGAATTAATATACGTAAATGTAAACAACAAAACTAAACAACCATTGTGTAGCAAGATCACTTCGGGAACAGCGCCATCTGGCGTTAGTTTTGCGCGGCCTTACTACGGTGATAGAATTCGACATAATCAAGTAGACCAGAGGTCTACAAAAATTTCTAGGGTTTTGTAAGAGGGAGCTATTTCACCATACATATATATATCCACGTTTATTCCAGATATGGGCTGTTAGGTGCCAGTGGATGTGGTAAAACCACGTTACTCAACTGTATCGTTGGAAGAAAAAGACTGAATTCTGGAGAGTTGTGGGTGCTTGGAGGCACCCCTGGGTCGAGTGGCAGTGGGGTACCGGGCCCCAGAGTAGGATACATGCCACAGGTACTAACCTTTATGTAGTTAACTTTTGATAAGCAAGTGGAGTATTTGTTTTTTATTTCTCAAATAGAATCATCGATCAAATACCTTATCAATTTCATATTTTTTCCGAATTTTAAGGTCGATTTATAGGTGCTAAAATCATCAATATTGCCACGGTAATTTTCAAACGGATAGAAATTTACCGCGAGAAAACACTGACGTCATGATTTCGTGAGTAGGGGGCAGACCATTGCACAGTTGCCATATGTTGAAAAACGATTGGGAACTTTGAAAAAAATATGAGTTATTCAAACATTGATAAATTCGCATTTTTTTTATGTTCTGGTTTCAACGAAAAGGGATATCCTGTAATGTTCGTGAGAACCAAGGGAAATAAGGTAAGAATTGGTGTTCTTCTCAAACTTCTGGAGGTTATATGCCTCGGGAAACATCCTTCCTTGGCAATGTGTTCCAGAGCCTCGTTGTTCGTTGGATGCACGAGTCTTTGGAAAGGGATGTTCTGCAGGTCTCCAAAGTGACCACGAAGGGGTTCGAAGCTTCAACTCGACGGGTTAATCTTGCGGGGACTGCCAAGGGAGGAGCAATTGTTGATCTTTCAGAAGAGCATCGTCCATGAAAATATCTATAAAATTGAGCAATACAAAATCAATTATCTCAAAATGTTCCCTTATGATTTTTTTTTGTTCTGGTTCCCACGAAAATAAATAGTAATTATATATTGATTCCCACTAGAGGACATATGAAGCGATGGAAGTCACAACACGGCGGGCACGACTCGTGGGCGTGGTCTTGTCTCATCTCAGCATCCAGCACAGTGTTGCCAAGTCTCCAACATTTACATGATATTTTGTTATGGAGTATTATTTGGATATGCCATTCGACTCCGCGGTTACGTAAATTACTAAACAACCACTAAATCCGCATCAAATCACAAAATTAGACTGACAGATAATTAATTACTCCAAAAGAATAATAGAGATGCCTGCAACGCAGTTGTCATCCCTGTACAAAATTTCAAATTTTACGTCGATAATTTTCTGATTTCAATATATAATTCGATATCTGCTCAATAATGATTCGTCCTTTTTCCTGTCTCAGAAAAAAATAGTGTATTATACACGGGAAAAATAACTATATAATAATCGTATCTTTTAGTAATATCCCAATTACAATACTTTTTGTGAACTCCCTATATATCACTGTTGTAAATAATGTGAATAAAGGTTGAAAGAAATGTCTGAAATATCATGAAATAATGATAATAATAGTTCGTGAAACGTAAAACTATGTATACTTCTTGATTTAAGCACCTCCATCATATCATACCTTGTATCATACATTCTCGAACTTCTACAATATCTGAAATGACAAATTCGAATTTCAGCAGATCAATTTTCAGTTTAAAAAGATGCAGAAAATTCAAACCAGCGCGTAAATTGAAGTCATAACGGAAAACTATTCGTTATATTATTCATAATCTCATTAAACTTCTTCATATACATATATTCATAATCATAATTCATGAATATGTAATATGTGTACGTAAAAAATAGATGTCTCGTAAATCAACCATGGACATAACAGTTATTTCAATACCGATACCACATTGGTGAATGAAAGATTAGGAAATACCCAAAAACGGAATATGCAGAATGTGTCTACCATTACGAACATTATGATATTACTCTGTCGAGCGAGTTAGGAACACTATACCAAGTGACATCGCATTCAGCTGTAGTTAGAAAAAAAATTGTTTCATAAAAATTCTTGATGCTCCCAATAAGATGATTAGACTGATTTTTCATACACTTATAGGTGGGGGCAATGAAATAGATATTAGCATATTTTCCAATGGTATAGCCTCACCGGCAAAAGAACCGGTCACCCAAAAATTTGCTCAAATTGTTCACCCTGTAAATTTTTTAATCATTGTCCAATTTTTATGAAATTATTACCAATAAACAGAACCTAAATACAATTATTGATTAAAAACTTAAAGAATAAATATCACTTATTTCTACCTCATGTTCTTAGCACTCACCGAAAAAAAAACCTTAATTACAAAAAACAAACAAAAAGTATACCTGTATAGTCAATAACGAGTATGTCCTCCTCGAGTTTGAATTAAATGATTCTACCGCCGTGGCATCGACTTGAACAAAAAATGTCTCAAGTGACTATGAAGAATTGCTGGACGAAGGCGAATGAGCCTGAATGGAGTTCATCCCCAAGATGCTTCATAGATTCTGAATTATTGTTGATAAAAATTTTAAAAAATCTTTCAAAAAACCCTATTGATTTCAGGAAATCGCCCTGTATGGCGAGTTCACCATCCGAGAGACTTTGAAATACTTCGGCTGGATCTCCGACATGACCACAGCCGAGGTGGAGGCCAAAGTGGATTTTTTCGTCAACTTCTTGATGCTACCAGATGCCGACAGACAAGTGAGTAGTTGAGTACATAGTCCTCTTTTTTCCACAAAAATTGTTCACGTATATCAAGCATAATAGAAATAAAACACTACTCCGTGGTGTTATTGATCGATTCATCATACGGTAACCGTTTGCGTTCCATTCCGTCGTGAAGAATTTTATTTTTTTCATTCAGAAATGGTTCAAAACAAGCAACTGGCTTGCGAGTAACTGACAAGAGAGAATAGAATAAGCTGACTATAAGAACTCACCACAACAAGAAAAATGTTAGAGAAGGTGCAGAGACTCTAGCATGTCTTTGGGAAACACCTTTTCTCAATACACATTTTTGAAATTCAGACACATTAACCTACTTTCAGCGATTAATTCGTAAAAATGTAACTTTCTGACATGTAGCGAAAGTCACTTGACCCTCAATATCTTCCTGCCAGTAAATAATATGAAAAATCGAAAAGAGAGGTCAATTTTATTTCCAAGGAAGACACTTAAAATGAATATGTTTAGCCCTCTTTGTTCAACTCCCTAGGAGGGGTAAATGTTACCATTAGAATCCCAAAAGGTAAGGTGGGTCAAGTAGCACACTGAAAAGAAAATTGAGTGAAATTTCACTCAAGGTCCACGCAATAATGAGTCAATTTCGGTCCACGCCCGATTGAGTTGAAATTTCACCCTACTTGACTGTGTAAAATGGTAATTCATGAACCGATTCAATCAAATTTGTTATAAACATTCTCATTGATATAAAAACTTGATGAAATATCTAGTTTGAGTTGAGATTTCACTCAAAAATTTCAATCAGTAAATTCACTCACAACCACAAATGCATTCACTCAGAGGAATTTTCTAAAGTGCACATGATTTTTAAGAACGTTCAATTATTTTTTCAATGGTACCCTAGTTTATCATTTTCTGTTGAGGTGTTTCCGAAAAATGCGTTTCAATTGAAAAACTTCCCACCCCACACATGTGGTACCTACTGCAGTTACGTGGGAGTGACAGCAATTGCAAATGAATGTTTCTTTGAATTTATACAAACCTAGAGATTTATTAGATCTGACATCACTATATAAACTTAAAATATGTTGTTTTATTCAATTTGTCCTATATAAATTGGAAATTTCAAATTCGGATTTCAATAAAATCAATTCATTACATAATCATGTAACAAGACAATCAAATTTACTAATAGCAAATACGTTCAAGTCAGATATCGGCAAACAATCCATTTTTCACACAGGAATCGTTCTATTCAACTCCAAGTCATTCAAGGCATATACAGGAAGCAACTAGATTCAAAATTAACTTGAAAAAATATCTGTTTCAGAGTCTTTGATAATTCCATTTCTTATTTGAATACCTACCTATGAAAGACAAGGTTGATATTGCATGATTATTTGCATTTTTTTTACTTGTTATATCTTATTATAATTTCATAATTGTATGTATAACATTATGTATATTGTTTATGTATCCCTATTATAAACAACTATGTTTCTTGGGGTAATAAAGACAATCAATCAAAATAGAGTACTAAAAGAATCAAGTGGACCCCTGAAATGTTTGCCAATTTTGAATTATTACCCCCAAAATCATCGGGTGACAATCCTAAAAAATTGACAGTTTTTCTGCTATAAGGGGTTTTAATTCACATTTTGAAAAAAATAGACTACCATTTGATTCTGAATAGAAAGACAACTTTTTTCAATATTGTTTTCCCATTCCTTAATGATTTTTCATTCGAAAATATTGGGGGAGTTCTTACCCCCCAACCACCTTGAAAAAAAATCCGGCTACTGTTAGAAGCATATAAAAATGTTTAATCACGAGAAATTGTATGGAAAAATCATAGACTTATTATTTACATAAAAAAAGCGTGAGAAGTGTTGCAAAAACTAATTTAGGTCCCTAACGACACAGTGGAGTAATTGAATGCCAATAATTCCACTCGCCCTTTGCTTGGTCGAAATAATCGTTCTCATTAGATGGCGATAACATGACTAGATCTAGACTGGACTGTTTTGATCGAAATGTGAATTCCCCCCCTCCCACTCATTTGCTGGGGACAATCATGCAAGAGAGCTTTTTCCATATAATTTCTTGTGATTGAACATGTTCTTATGCTTCTCACAGTAGTACGGATTTTTTTTAAGCTGGTTGGGGGGTGAGGACCCCCCCCCAATGTTTCCGAATGAAAAATCATCGAGGAATAGGAATATATGTTGAGAAAAGTTTTCTTTCTATTCAGAATCAAATGGTATACAGGGTGTAAATTTGAAAACTTTCAACATGCGAATATCTCGCTAAATAAAACAGTTAGAAAAACGCCGTTTGGCACAAATGCTACAGAGTTAGGGGGAACTAGAACCACCATACTTCAGTAAAGGGATGAGTCACCCCGTCGGCGTGACACACTCCATCTTTGAAATGTCAAATGGCACTACCTCTTTTGTGATACCTCAAATGAACGGTCTCAGTCATTAGTATTCACCAGTACAAGACTTATTTTCCACCCACTACAGGGTGAACGGAAAACATAAAGTCGAATAAAATGAAATGCAGAATGCCGATATATTCCAAGAAATGTGTCCAAAATGTTCGAATGGCATTTGAACATCGATAATACTATTGCTTACAACAGAATGGAATGCATTTTGAACATCTGATCAAATGAAATATCCTTTTAACACAATTCATTTCATTTTATTCGACTTTATATTTTTCGTACACCCTGTAGTGGGTGGAAAAAAAGTCTTGTCAGGTGAATACTACTGACTGAGACTGTTCATTTGAGGCATCACAAAGAAGGTAGTGCCATTTGACATTTCAAAGTTGAGGTGTGTCGCGCCGACGGGGTGACTCATCCCTTGACCAAAATATGGTGGTTCTAGTTCCCCTTAACTCTTTAGCATTCTTGCCAAACGGCGTTTTTCTAACTTTTTTCTTTCGCGAGATATTCGCATTGGAAGTTTTCAAATTTACACCCTGTATAGTCTATTTTTTTCAAAGTATGAATTGAAACCCCCTATATAGCAGAAAAACTGTCCATTTTTTAGGATTGTCACCCGATGATTTTCTGATCAGAGCCATATGGACTACATCATTTAAAAATTCAGAGGAATCCACCGAATTATTTTTCATTTGCACCCCCAATTTGGTGGGGGATAATAATTATTCGTAATGAAACATCCTATCACTTTAGACAGTTCGATGGATTTTTTTTGCGGTTTTCAAGATAAGGGTTGGGGTAATAATTTCCCCTCATTATATTTTTTATGAAGAATCTATTTTTAGAAGTAATTGAATAGAATAAGAAGTTTTGAAATATCGTTCATTTTCTCAGAAATAAATGGTCAATGTATACGATGTTACAAAACTACCTAGTTTTGTTCATTGAAGTTCATAGTTGTTGTAGTGTTATGTGCTTGTGGGAATAATTCAACTCTCGATCTGAAAAAAATGTCCGTTGCGCAGGTGAAAAACCTGAGCGGAGGGCAACAGCGCAGAGTATCCTTGGCGGCCACGCTGCTGCACGAGCCCGAGCTGCTGATCCTCGACGAGCCCACTGTCGGCGTGGATCCACTGCTGAGGAACAACATCTGGAATCACCTGGTCGAGATCACCAAGCACGGCAGAACGACTGTTATCATCACCACGCACTACATCGACGAGACCAGGCAGGCTCATCTGGTGAGTGATTATACAATGAGAAACCTTTTTTTTTCTGTGGCGGGAAAAAAGTTTGGCATTTCATCTCTGTTGGTAGGTTATAAAATGTCACTTCTCATAAATTACTTTTTTCGCGGATATATATCCACTGTTGATGGCTTTTGTTGGAGTCCAAGAAATAAAGGGAAAAAGTTAACGTTAATTACGCACTATTTTCATCTTCCGGTTGGAAGTAGCTTTTGGTACCTCATTAAACATGAGACAGAGTTTGACTGGAAAACGCGTGCGATGGCGGAGAAAATGGCCCCAAAAGACCAGAAATATAGGTTTTCAGCCAATATCTCCTAAAATATGGCAGTTAGAGATTTTCGGTTCAGATGAAAATTGAAGTTCAGTCAATTTTCTACAAAAATGGTCCTTATCATTTTTCTCGAAAATTTGCCCGGTTTCGAGAAAAACGGCACGAAGCGCACCTCGAATAATGAGCTTCTGTGTTGTATGCCGGAGAGCACAGTCCGTGTATTTACACATCGGCGGGGGGACAAATTATTCAATAACTTTGTTAAAAATGCATATTTTCTCATGATTCAGAGTTCATGTGAAAGAGGAAGTCTGCTGCTATCATACCCTGTGAATTGACTCACGCTTGACTCTTTTGGCCATATCGGAACGTGGGTCAAACTTTCTGCTCCCGGTCAATTTTGACCTCGCCAGGAATTTGTTCCTATTTTTTTTGTATTGCACTAATCTACTCAAAATTTTCTTGACTATGGGTCCTCATAAGGTCCTTTGTCATCCCTGAAATTTGTATACCCTAATTTTTTTTAATTTTCATTTGATCTTTGTTTATTGAATCCCAATTTTTTGCTGTTTTTGGAGCGCGGGGAAATTTTGTGAACAAGCATCAATTAAAAATGTACACATGATCCGAATGGTTTCTATGATACATCATTTGAAAGCTAAGAAGGTCTACTTTTTGATTGTGCAATTACTTTTTTAGACGAATTCGTCCATTTTTCAATAAAATTAGAAAAAGCGGGGTCAAGGAAAAAACGCACTTTTTTTCGGTGTTTTTTTTCTCCGTGCTCTTTAATTCTAACATTTTAACACCTTAACTAGTGTAACGGAGGAATTCCCACCTTTCCATCGATGTATATAAGTCATACCTTTGATATCCCGGGAAAAAAACAGTATATCTGAATGTACACGCTATAATTTATTACTTTCGTTCCTCCGTCGTTCGCCGCTTGTGTGCTCTACGTGGCGCTCCGGTCGTCTGCTACAAACCATGCGGCCACGCAGGGTATGATAGCAGCAGAATTCCTCTTTCACATGAACTTTGAATCATGAGAAAATATGCATTTTTAACAAAGTTATTGAATAATTCGTCCCCCCGCCGATGTGTAAATACACGGACTAAGCTCTCCGGCATACAACACAGAAGCTCATTATTCGAGGTGCGCTTCGTGCCGTTTTTCTCGGAACCGACAAATTTTCGAGAAAAATGATAACGACCATTTTTGTATAAAATTAACTGAACTTCAATTTTTATCTGAACCGAAAATCTCTAACTGCCATATTTTAGGAGATATTGGCTGAAAACCTATTTTCCTGGTCTTTTGGGGCCATTTTATCCGCCATCGCACGCGTTTTCCAGTCAAACTTTGTCTCCTGTTTAATGAGGTACCAAAAGCTACTTCCAACCGGAAGATGAAAATAGTGCGTAATTAACGTTAACTTTGCCTTTTTTTCCTCCTTCATTTATTGGACTATTGTGCTATAGTTCCGAAAAATGAGTCAATAATACCGTCTCCGAGAAAGAACTGCAAGTCACGTGATTTTCCCAAGAAAGGTTATTGCTGATAGTAATACCAAGCATCGAAATGGATGTCTTCAAAGGTATGGTTACTCCTGACAAACTTATGTTGGGCACAGTGAGATCTACCAAGTTATTGGATCCCCATTCAAGAATTGTTGCCAAGTCCATATTTATGTTGTCAACATGGTTAAGTAAATCGCTTAGTTGGAATTTCCTTAGTACCGATAATTAAAAATACTGGGATTTTTATTAACAATGGGCGGCTCGGGGGTCGAGAGCGTGAAGGCGCTGAGTTCGTATGGGGACTCCCACCGAGACATAGGTTCGAATCCTAGTTCGGCCATGGATGTTTGTGTTTGTAGTACACCTAACCCTGCACAAGTTTCGACTTATGGGGCGTTTGGTCCCAGTGCTGGGACCAACGAGGTATGCAATTGCAAAAAAAAACATCCTTATCTCCTAAGAAACTTTGCTATTTTCACCTCATTATTCATCGTTGATAATAATACTATTCACGACAGAATTATTATATACAGTGCTGTCCATTCGGTTAAGCTGGGGTAATGAACCATTTTTCTAGGGTTACTATGAACAGCAATCTATTGCCACAACTAATATGACATTCATCAGAAATTGTCTATTATTATTCACAGCAAAAATGTAGTAGTCATAACTAAAAGTTATAGTTAAGCTGCGATATTCGGACTGACTCGGGACAGTTCGAGACTGATAAAAGCAAACATCGCAATTTATATTGTTTCTACCGTCACTTTATTTCGATATGCAAGGTCATCGTTCCTGAGCGTTTGAGTGAGATACAGGGCATGCCGTAACTGTATGAATATCAGAATATTAGATGCACTGCGTTCAAGTACCTCTTTCTTCGTTTGATGTTAGCAGGAATGGCTAGAACATTATCCTGGCGAATTTTTTTGTTATTTCCACAAATAGAGACCAAACAGATCTGCTTTAAAATTTGTACTGTGGATGCTTCAGATAATTTCCATACAAAAATCAAAGAGAATCAATACGTTGAATGAATCTCTGAACTTATCTAACAGACAAGCTAGTCATTTCACGATTACCGACCCTGCAGGTGAAGCATTGAAACATAACCTCACTTTTCCTATTTGTTTACAAAGTAATCAAAGGATTGAAATAGTTGTTAAGACTGTACAATATTTTTGTCACCATGAATTTGAGTTGGAAATTCAGGGTCGTACCCGGTCGGAACCTTCGAGATGCCTGGAAGATTGAGTTAGTCTTTTTTCGAAGGTTGTACTGTTCGCATCTTACCAAACGCCGTTCGACAAATAAATAGTTGTCAAAACAACCAGCGATTTATTAAGCTACAGTCCACTATAACATCTAACATTTTGGTCCTTCGGGCCGGATCAAAATGTTAGATGTTGTATAGTGGACTGTAGCTAAATAAATCGCTGGTTGTTTCGATAAATATTCATTTGTCGAACGGCGTTTGGTAAGATGCGAACAGTACAAGTTTTGAAAAAAGACTAACTCTATCTTCCAGGCATCTCGAAAAAAGTTCCGATCGGATACGATCCTAAATTGACAGGTCGAATTTACGGCGACATAAATAATGTACATTCTTAACATGCCGCTCACCTTGAAATATGGTAGTATTTCAACAAATATAAATACAATCAATACATCCCATATGCAAAACTAAAGATTAACAAAAATATTAGTGCAAAATCGTGTCCAAAAATCAAGTTAAAAAAATATGTGTCTAAATATCAAGTGCAAACATATCATTAGCAGCACTGTGAAATACCCTCGAAAGGTAAAATACAAATTTTGAGACAGTGCGTTTCACAATAGTTTTTCTCAATATTTTGGCATACAAAAAATCGTATTTTTTGGGATATTCATTAATTCAAGCATCCCATCACATTGTGCTGTTGTACAATGCACAAAAAATTAAATGCACGCAATCCATGAGTCAAAACCACCGTTTTAAAATAGAAAGGTTTAGGTTATGCCAAAATGTCATAAGCGCGTTCAGACTCTTAAAAAGTATGATATTATCAATAGATTAAATATACAAATATTTCTACTCTGTTTGCCACAATAACAATTTTGTTCGTTCAACTACCTCCTACCGGAGTAACGCACATAAAATATCACTTATACCTGAGTAATTTTCGATGTTAATCGAATAACAGATAATGTCTCGATACATGATAAAAAATATAAATTAATTAATGCAGCCGCAGGTAATTGTTCAAAAAGAAAACACGATAAATTATAATTATGTCCAGTCTTTATAATTCGGTGTGTCCTTGACACCGACAGTTGTGTATGTTCTTAGAGTTCGCTGATGATGGCGAAATAAATGAATAATTTGTTTAAATTAATTTCTGATGACGACACTACATGGATGTCGATTAATTATAGGTGCTAGATATCCATTGCAGTGACATAATTATTTAGGAACTTGATTATTTTCGCCTATAGTCATAGGGGCGCCGGAACCATGGGTGCAATGATCTCACGTGATTTTCCCAAGAAAGGTTATTGCTCATAGTAATACCAAGCATCGAAATGGATGTCTTCAAAGGTATTGTTACTCCTGACATGCTTATGTTTGGCACAGTGAGATCGGCTTTCCTAGAGAAAAGGCATGCTTGTGTTTTGTTTGCATTGAAATCTACCAAGTTATTGGATCCCCACTCGAGAATTGTTGCCAGGTCGATATTTATGTTGTCAACATTTCTTCCTCGTTCGTTTCTGATTTGCCTGGCTAGTATTGGAGCTCTGGAAGAGAAGGCGGTATGGAAGGTACTATCATCCGCGAAGCTGTGTACTGGACATGAAGTTGCTTCCAACAAATCGTTGATATGGAGTAGAAATAGTGTTGGTGCTAGAATTGATCCTTGTGGAACACCAGCATTTATGGTAAGAGTCAGATGAAACTCCGTCGACCACTACATGGAGATACCTATTTGAGAGAAAACTAGCTACAAGAGAACATAGCTGGGGAGGCAAGCCATAAGATGGAAGCTTGGCAAGCAATAGATTGCTGCCATATATGTGAGACGTAAGCGAGCAGGTCACCAGTTGATCTCTGATGACGGAAGCCATATACCCTATCGTTGATGATACCTGAATGTTCTAGGTATTTCAGGAGCTCGATGTTGATCTTGATCTCCATGATCTCCATGATCTTTGAAATAAAAGATAGCAGTGCGATCGGTCTGTAGTTGCTAGGTAGGAACTGGTTGTACTCTTGCAATTTTCCAGTTGAACGGGAATATCCCCAATTTGTAAGAGTAGTTGAACAACTTGCAGAGAATAGGTGTTAGTTCGGGAGCACATTTCTTGAGAACAATCGGTGGGATTCCGTCGGAGCCACAAGTTTTGTTGGTGTTGAGACCCAATAAAATATTCCTTATGGTACGTTGGCGAAAGGTGATCTCGGTCATATGACTGCCAATTGACCTTATGTTTGGAGGTTGTTTTCCCAATGAATCCAGAGTAGAATTTCCAGCAAATAAATGCGCAAAAATGTTGGCTTTCTCCTAAGCAGTTGTGGCTAATGTTCCATCTTCCTTGTTTATTAGAGGAGGAAACGAGCTGGAAGTGAAGTTTCTTACTACAGCTTTGGCGAAGGACAAGTTTTGATCTTATTCTGGCATTATGAGCCTCCATTGATGATCGAATTGTCTCATTACATATGCCTCTAGCCTCGACATATTCTGCTCTAGTCTCAGGGCCTGGATTTTTCTGCCATCGATGGAATGCTGCCTGTTTGGAAGCGACAGCTCTAGAGCAGTTTCTACTGAACCAGGCCTTATCGGAAGATATCCTCCTTGCAGTGTTCGGTATGTAGGTTTGCATCCCCAACATGATGATTTCAGAAATTGTCTCAGCACATCGTGTTGGATCTGCTGAGGAGAAACACACTCACTTCCATGGAAACGCTGAAAAAAACATACGAAGACCTTCCCAGTCGGCCGAATTGTAATGCCACATGAGACGAGTAGGAATTGTGGTGCTGGATGGTACATGGAAAGAGCAGGTTGTGGAGATGAGGGTGTGGTCTCTTATCCTTAAGGAACCTCTTCAGTCTCCATCAAGAACTCGCTCCAGAGATCCTCTAAAACAATTTCCTTTACAGATCGGCCTGATGCGAGGTGGTTACTTTTTGGCCGAGGAGTCTCCCGAGCGACTCATCCAGCAGTTCAATGCCGACAGCCTCGAGGACGTCTTCCTCAAGCTGAGCGTCATGCAGAACATGAACAAGCGTCGCCGGTCGTCCATCTTGCAGAGCGTCACGGAGACGATTCGCGTGCCCGAGATAGCGACCGGCGCCGTCAACGACGCCGTCGTGCTCGACGACGAGATGGGCGTGGGGGAGATATCGGGAGAGTTCGGGGATAACGTGTCGATGACCAGCCGGACGAGCAGTGAGTATCTATATTACCTCAGACTAAAACACAATAGATCGACACCGCGATTCATTCATGAATCAATAATAGTATATTATGTAACAAGTGTTATGAACGTCCTTTTAGTAACGAGTATTTTAAGCACGAGCGGAGCAGAGCGGAGCGAGTGTTTGTTATTTCAAATAGAATACCCTGTATTTTATTGCATATTCTTTACCATCAGCTATTTTCAGACTAGATTCAGAATGTACATCACAGTTTGCTACCCCGAAATCAGAAATTGCTTTAATTTGAAAATGAAAACGACTTGGACTTCATCGGTCCCCATTCTGTACAGCGTGGACATAAAACTGGAGAGTTCCGAACATATTTTTTGAACTGAAGGAAACTTCCCCATTTGTCTTAACAATTCACAAGTTTGATTTGAAATATTTCTAATTTTCAAGGAAGAGTTTCCATAGCCCCCGAACCCGCCCATGAAATTCACCAGCCAGAGCTGCCGCCCGAAGACAAACCGGAAGTCTTCTACAGAGATTACCTCAAGATCGTCAAACTCACGCACATGCGCGCCCTCATTTGGAAAAACTTTTTGTGGATGTGGAGGAACATCCCTATCATGATGTTCATAATAGGGCTGCCCGTAGGTAAGAAATTCGAACGGAAATTTAGTGTATCGCACGGAATAATAGTAATTTTCCACGATTATAAAAGTTGTCTGATGCTAATATGTCCTAAAAATTAACAGGAAGAGCAGCCAAAGCGACATAAATAATAATTAATGAGACAAACATTTTCAGTCTCACCAGTGTCACTGCGTTTAAAGAAGAAGAGGGCCTGAAAGAAACATCAACTGGCTTATCAGTGACAATTTGTATTAAAAAAGGTTTGAAGAAGAGAAATAAATGTATACCTATAGAAAAAATATCAAATTTTCACTAAGCTTTGGACATTTCGGGAACGAATCTGCCCGGTTTTCAACATAAAAAATTCATATTTGTATAGCAAGTTCGTATTCGTCTTCACACTCAGTTCTCAGTGACAATTGGTGACGTTGGCAATCAAATGAGTTAAAGGATGTTTTCATTAACTAATCTTGAATTTACCATTTTCATTTTCAGATTTCAGTAGTGAATACCATGTTCTATCTATATCAACTAAACAGGAAGCGATGCTATTGTCTCCGTTCAGAAGAATGCAAGCAGATTCCTTGAAGTGTCGAGACGAATACGAATTTGTGTGAAAAAATATATACCGCCAAAAAGTATCTTATATCATGTTATCCTCTGTCTGCCGCCAATTACCTTTTAGCATATAATGCACTGGTTAATAAATATTCTAACAAAAGAATATTAGCTACCGCGCATTGGAACGAAATAGTTTACTCCCCGCCTATCAATAACGAAAATCCCGCATTATTACGTAAATTACTTGATACGTGATATATAAACACTTGATTTGTCAATATCGAACTGCAAAAAGAGCAATATGTTCTTTGAATCTTGTGACTATATTTTGACATGTTCGCCCAATACCTTTTATGTTACAGTCATCACAGTCCGTATCATAAACTTCACTTAATACTTGTTTTTGTTTTTCAGCACAAATTATACTATTTAGTTTATCGGTCGGGCACGAACCAGTTGGCATTCACCTATCCGTGGTCAACAAGGAAATCGACTATCCTGCTGAACATTGCAAGCAACAACTAGGCTGTAATAGTACGAGACTCAGCTGCAACTACTTGGAATATTTAGCCAACAATTATTCGGTGAAATTGGTAAGAAAACAATTTGATGGAGAATGGAGATCGAGTTTATGAAAATCTTCGTACAATAATCAAGGTCCTATTAAAAATAAGGACTGTTGATAAACATTGAAGACCACTTTCTATAGTACACAGTTTAATAGATCCAGATTCATTACGGTGGATGACACCTGAAAAGTTGGTGCCTTGGATAATTAGTTGTGTTCTATCGACCTAAAATATTCTCAATGTTGCGACGCTGCCGCTTATATTGAAAAGTAGCAACGACTTTGATTTTTTAAATGGAATACCCTGTATATTATTCCATTTTCAGATTCTCCCTGAAGAGCTGATTTCATCGCTTAATCGGAAATAATAACAAAGATATAGGGTGTGAAAAATCGAGATTTTTCAACTAAGAATTTTTTGTGTCGAAACTATTTATCATTGGTCAAAACGGTTTCAATGACCCTACCTTGATTTTTTATGTACTATCAATTGATATTTGATTCAAATAAATACAGGGTGGTTCAGAATTAAGATGTTTGACCACCCTATGAATACTTTCCACACAAAAAATTCTTTGAGTTGAAGGATATCGATTTTTCACACCCTATATATTGGTTATCATTTCCGTTAGACCCCAAGTGTGATAGATCGATGAAATCAGCTCTTCACGGAGAATATGAAAATGGAATAATATACAGGGTGTCCCATTTAAAAAATCAATCAAGTTGTTGTTAGTTTCCAATATAGGCGGCAACGTCGCAACGCAGAGAATATTTTAGGTCGATAGAACACAACTAATCATCCAATGCACCAACTTTTCAGAATAAACCTGAGTTGCGTTCGCCAGTAACGTCTAATGTGCCATCCACCGTGAATCAGCCTGTATACAAATACATTTATGACAGGATTGACAGGTCACATGGTAGAATAAACATTTTTAGTGAAATAGATATACAATTGAGTACAGGAGATGAGAACATATATAGACAAAATATGGTATAGATAATAATTCCTAAACTAAATGTTACGAAACAACATATTATTCAAATAAATCAGTTCACAATTTCATTGGTTGATTAGAGCATACTAGAGAACGGCTGAATATGGAATTATTTGATTTGATTCACGATTCAAAAAAACCCTGTGTCATGAAGTTTGTATATTCCTCAAGGGAGTAGAAGGCATTTTCAATTAGACATGATTTGGTAGTTTTTTTTTAAGTTAACTATATTCCTACCTTTGACTTCAGTGGGAAGAATATTATACAGTGCTTTTCTTTAATGTTCTCCCTTTAATTTTTTAAAAGTGTCAACTGAAAAAAATTAAACTTGGTATAATGAAATTGAACCCTTAATACTATATTTTGGAGTGGAATTGACAGATAAAAATTTCAAGATGGCCACTGAGCGCCATCTAGGAAAAAAAATTGGGGGGTCATCCCAAGTTTCAATTTTATGCGGGTCATTATCATATTGCATTATCCCAGCAACTCATTTTTGCAGAAGATTAGCGTCATCTAGGCCAGTCAGAGTATGCAATCAGTTAGTTTCATTGAGGTCTCTCAAGAAATAATTACGTTGTATTTCGATCTTAGGAAGACTCGCCTGTATATTCACATGTTCGAATGGATTTCAGGATTATTGGGCTACCGAAGATGAGGCCAGAAGGACAGTAGAAAAGGGCGACTCGTGGGCTGTAATAGTACTCGCTCACAATTTCTCTGATGCCATGAGATCCAGGATAGAAAATGGCAGAGACGTACCGGAAGAGGACTTGCACAGTTCCACGATAAACGTCTATCAGGATAAATCCAGTAAGTTGACTTAGAACATACCAAATTGCAGAACAGTCATTGCAAAAACATAACTCAAGTCGGGTAATGTTTTCCATTCCTGCGCCGCTACTGTTGATAACAAAAATAGGCTGTACATCTATACCGGGTGTAACAAGATCATGGTACACCCCCCGTATCTCCGTTAGTTTCAGAGGTAATTGATTGCAATTTGGGATATCCCATATACATGATAAGAGGCACTTTTTGACCTACAAATGTTTTTTTTTCCAATTCCGGTTTCGCCGGAAGTTATACCAACTTTCCATTTTTAAATGGAACACCCAGTATATTATCACATTTCTGAAATCTGCATAATTTTCTGAATCCAATGATACCACATAAGTGACATTTCAAACGTAAACATTTTCAATATTTTAATTTTTAGTTTTCCATTTTAGTGTGTCATGATGGTTCCTATTTATTCCAATTGACCCGTCTAATGCTAGAAAAATCGAAATCCCGTCAAAAATACTAAATTGCGTTTTTTATGAGCAAATAAAGTTCATCGTAATCGATTTTAGGGTAAAACTCAATTTTTTCAAATGGAACCATATTGGTACCGTGGTACCATTTATTAGTACTACTAATAAGCAATTTATTCATACCTGCTAATAAAATGTGCGATAAATAAAATCAAAATCACAGCTAAAAGAAAATAAGAAAATACAATTATTTTGTTCTAATTTAATGCTAAGAAGTTACTAAGGTGGCTTTGAAAACAATGAAATTATTCCTTCAGATTGTCAAATAAATGTTTGTTGGTTTATCGGTGATGTTATTGTGTATTGGAAAAGTCTTTACATTTGTTGTTATTCACGTTCAAAATGCCGCACATTTATACAAGGGATGAAAAAGTGGACATGTTAATTATTTATGGAGAATGTAGAAAAAATGCCGTTGCGGCTAGAAACCTTTATGCCGACCGATATCCTGATAGACAATGTCCAGCGAGAAATTATTTTAATCGTCTTGAAAATCAATTCCGAAGAGAGCCTAACCATGATCCTGAAGACAACTTAATCATTGACGAAGGAACGGAAATTAATGTTTTAGCTAGAATAGAAGTTGATAAGACCGTTTCTTTAAGGCAAATTGGGTTTGAATTGGAAATTAGTCACCAAACAGTAAGCCGAATCTTGCACAAACATAATTATAAATCTTTCAAATATCAATTACACCAGCACCTGTACGAAAATGATTATGAACGTAGGATGGAATATTGCAATTGGATCTTGCAGAATAATGTGCAGCCAAACAATGATTTTTTGGGAAGGATTTTATTTTCAGACGAGTCTAGCTTTACAAATATGGGATTATTCAACCGACAAAATACAAGGTATTGGTCACAAGATAATCAAAATTTATTACGGGAGGGTAACTTTCAAGTGCGGTTCGGTTTCAATGTTTGGCTTGGAATACTCGATCGTAGAATCATTGGTCCAATAATATTTGAAAGACCCTTGACTGGAGCTAGATACTTAGAATTTCTGCAAAATGACATTGAGGACAGGTTAACTGAATTACCTGTCCATTTACGACAGTTAATGTATTTCCAACAAGATGGAGCTCCTCCCCATAATTCAAGAATAGTAATTGATTACCTTCAACAGGCATTCGGAGAAAACGTAATTTCGACGAATGGTCCTGTGCGATGGCCTCCAAGGTCACCTGATTTGACACCTCTTGATTTCTTTGTTTGGGGCCATTTGAAAAACATTGTCTATGCAACCGCCGTTACAACTCGCGAGGACCTGGAGTTGCGAGTAAGACGCGCAATTAATAGTATAACGGCCCAGCAATTAGCGAACGTTCTTCAAGAAACAGCTATGCGAGTTCAGAAGTGTATTAACGTTAATGGACAGCATTTCGAACAATTGTTGTAATATTTCGTTTTTTTTTTTGTATTTCAAAGCCACCTTAGTAACTTCTTAGCATTAAATTAGAACAAAATAATTGTATTTTCTTATTTTCTTTTAGCTGTGATTTTGATTGTATTTATCGCACATTTTATTAGCAGGTATGGATAAATTGCTTATTAATAGTACTAATAAATGGTACCACGGTACCAATATGGTTCCATTTGAAAAAATTGAGTTTTACCCCAAAATCGATTACGATGAACTTTATTTGCTCATAAAAAACGCAATTTAGTATTTTTGATGGGATTTCGATTTTTCTAGCATTAGACGGGTCAATTGGAATAAATAGGAACCATCATGACACACTAAAATGGAAAACTAAAAATTAAAATATTAAAAATGTTTACGTTTGAAATGTCACTTATGTGGTATCATTGGATTCAGAAAATTATGCAGATTTCAGAAATGTAATAATATACTGGGTGTTCCATTTGAAAATCGAGAGCTGGTATCACTTCCGGCGAAACCGGAATTGAAAAAAAAACATTTGTAGGTCAAAAAGTGCCTCTTATTATGTATATGGGATATCCCAAATTTCAATCAATTACCTCTGAAACTAACGGAGATACGGGGGGTGTACCATGATCCTGTTACACCCGGTATACGGCCTACTGCAGACATTTCTTTTTCAAATCGTTGGCACGAGTACAACGATTCACTTGTGTCTTTGCAAAAATTAGCTTAGGTCCCTAACGATACAGTAGAGTAATTGAATAATAATAATAATAATAATAATAATAATAATAATAATAATAGGACTTTATTAGGCGAAAGTTTAGCTACAAAGAGCTATTCTTACACTTCAACCTAGGTACATATATGTATAAATAGTAGGTATTACAAGGTATTTTCCAAGAAAACAAACTAAATCATATTTCTATTCTTAGATATAACTCTTCACTTTTCTAATTTTTGAATTGTGGAAATATTAGATAAATGTAGAAGTAATCTGTGCAGCTAGGTAGACTGTGTTCTTTTTTCATCAAGGATTTTATTTTTCAGCTTCATTCTGAATGACTTCATACTCAGTTTTTCAACATTGTCATCTAAAGCATTATAAATAACTGGTAGTTGGTAGGAGAAAGATGCTTTAAATTTACAGGTGGAGTAGTGTGGGATGTTCACTGCAGCAAGATTCCTTATATTGAGGTTATGCAATTGATGACGAAATATTATTTTTTCATAAAGGTAATATGGACGTTTCTCGTTGATAATTTTATGGAAAGCAGTGGTGGCATGTAGAAGACGACGTTTTTTCATGCAAAGCCAGCCAAGATATGAAATATATTCAGTGATATGATCAGATCTTCGCAAGCCCCAAATCAGTCTAATGCAGTTATTTTGCATTTTTTGAATTCGATAACAGTCAAAGGAGTCGATACATGGACCATATACTATATCGCAATAGTTGAAATTAGATAAAACAGTTTCTTCTTTAAATCAAAAGACAGAAATTGTCGACTTGAGTACAGCAATTTAAGACACCCGTAGGCACGCTGAATAGATTTGCTGACGTGTTCCGAGAATTTCAAATTAGAGTCAATAATTAAACCTAAGTTTTTGGTTGCTGATACTAGTGTTAAAGTGACACCTCCTATGACTATGTTGATATCATTCTTCACCCGATTAATTCGTCATTCATTGCCAAATAATAAATAAGTGGATTTTGTGGAATGCCAATAATCCATTGTTAGAACCATTTTCATTTGATATTCACTCGAGCTTTTTTGTAGATGAAAATATCGCTACCTATGTGGAAAGAGACCTGCTGTTCGGGTTCGTGAGCTTTTTGGGATCATATTTGAGCTCTTGCGACATAGACCCTGTTATTGCTGGATTGCCTTTGAGAGTAAGAGATAAAATTAGGTACCGTAAGATCATTTCAGTGGATATGTATTGATTTCAGTGGGAAGCGCCTATTTATGGATTTGGAGATCCGGATTTCACAAATTTTGCTGCTCCAGGAGTGACGTTGACGTGAGTTGAAATGTTTCCATATTTTTTTTGTCAGAGGTTGTTTAACCTGGATAAGAACCCTTTATACATACATTTATTATTGAACTGTACAAAACAATAAAACACATTCATGGTGAATGAATGAGTGCACTTTTTCATCATTGAAGGCTCAACATTTTTTATTGTCCACCAGATTGCGCTACTCAGACATGAGATATACTTCTTCTTTCGTATCGTATGGTCCCTATTCAAGGATATCTTCTCCTCTGTGAATGTTACAGTTGTACATAAAGTTTCACATTGGGAGTAAAATCGCAAGCGTGCCATTCCCAATAGTTAATTGAGTTGCACTATTTATTTGCATAAGACACACCACTGTTTCTGCAAGTTTTTGGAATAACAGGCCTCAGTCTCAGGGTTATTCAGCAAAATTTGAAGAATTTCGTCTTTAGAATCTTACCGAGGATGGTCAACAAACAATATAATTCATAACCATTTCAAGCAGATTTTTAATCTTTTCCGATAGTCCTTGGACTTGGATTATGTGCCGATAACATATTATTCATGGCTGTGGCGTTGACCTCTAGCGCCATGATAATGTTTGGCGTTTAGAATTGTTGGAGTATACTTTTTGATGATTTAAGTATGAATGCAACGCGATAAAGGAATCTAATCTGATCTGATGTAGAACTTTATAATCTTTCCGAGGGTGGACAACAAGCCAATTTAGATCAGTTCATTCTGTAGGATCATTTCTTAGATTCACCAGCATAATTTTATTCATGGCCGTGGCGTTATCCCCACCATTCACAATTTCGTTGATTCGTTCATTCATCCGTGTTAGGTGATCAGGATTGTTGGAGTATACTTCTTAATGATTAATGAATGAATCACGATGTCTGAGTTCGAGACTATCACGAAATGTGCGGCCTGTGGTGTCGAAGTTTAGAATCTCTCCGAAGCTGGTCAACAAATCCATTCAGCGTTCTTAGCATAGAATTACTTATTACTGTTTCGGGGAGATTTTGAATCTTTTTAGATAGTTTCTAGAGTATACTCTAACTGATTGTTTTCTCAAAGCATAATATTCTTTATGGCCGTGGCGTTGATCTCGGGCGCCATGATAATAGAGCGCAACGAGGGCATCCTTGAACGGTCTTTAGTCGACGGCATCAGCGGCACCGAGCTGCTCTTCTCGCAGATCATCACGCAGTTCGTGGTGATGCTGGACCAGACGGCGAGTTATCCCCACCATTCACGATTTCATTTATTCATTCATCCGTGTTAGGTGATCAGGAATGTTGGCGTATATACTTTTTAATTATTTATTAATGAATCGCGGTGTATGTCTATCATTATTCAGCTTAAGCTCGAGACTGTCACGAGGTGTGCAGCCTCTAGTGTCGAACTTAAACATCTTTCCGAGTGTGTTCAACAACCCAATTCAGCGTTGTTAGTAGAGAATTTATAGTTGTTTCATGCATATTTTGTTTCTTTTTTGATAGCTGTTGGGCTCATTTTATGCCTATAATCTAAATGATTGTTTTCCATAACTTAATATTCTTCATTGCCGTGGCGTTGACCTCGGGCGCCATGATAATGGAGCGCAACGAGGGCATCCTTATGCGGTCTTTAGTCAACGGCATCAGCGGCATCGAGCTGCTCTTCTCGCAGATCATCACGCAGTTCGTGGTGATGCTGGGCCAGACGGTGATTATTCCCACCATTCACGATTTCATGCATTCATCCGTGTTAGGTGATCAGGATTGTTGGCGTATATACGTTTCAATTATTTGTGGATGAATGGCGGTGTCTGTTAATTATCATTCAGTCTGAGCTCGAACGAAATGTGCAGCATCTAGTGTCGAACTTAAGTATCTTTCCGAGTGTGGTCAACAAACTAATTTAACGTTGTTAGTATAGAATTTATAGTTGTTTCAGGCATATTTCGTTTATTTTTCGATAGTTTTTGGACTCATTTTGTGCCTATAATCTAAGTGATTGTTTTCCATAGCATAATATTCTTCATGGCCGTGGCGTTGACCTCGGGCGCCATGATAATGGAGCGCAACGAGGGCATCCTCGAGCGGTCTTTAGTCAACGGCATCAGCGGCACCGAGCTGCTCTTCTCGCAGATCATCACGCAGTTCGTGGTGATGCTGGGCCAGACGGTGATTATCCCCACCATTCACGATTTCATGCATTCATTCATTTATTCATTCATTCACTCATTCATTCATTCATTCAACCGTGTTAGGTGATCAGGATTGTTGGCGTATATACTTTTCAATTATTTATGAATGACTCCTGGTGTATTTCTATTATTATTCAGCCTGAGCTCGTGACTGTCACGAGGTGTGCAGCCTCTAGTGTAGAACTTTAGCATTATCACGAGTGTGGTCAACAAACCAACTTAGCGTTGTTAGTATAAAATTTATAGTTGTTTCAGGCATATTTCGTTTCTTTCTCGATAGATTTTGGACTCATTTTGTGCCGTTAATCTAAGTGATTGTTTTCCATAGCATTATATTCTTTATGGCCGTGGCGTTGACCTCGGGCGCCATGATAATGGAGCGCAACGAGGGCATCCTCGAGCGGTCTTTAGTCAACGGCATCAGCGGCACCGAGCTGCTCTTCTCGCAGATCATCACGTAGTTCGTGGTGATGCTGGGCCAGACGGCAATTAACCCCACCATTCACGATTTCATTCTTTCATTCATCCGTGTTAGGTGTTCAGGATTGTTGGCGTATATACTTTTTAATTATTTATGAATGAATCCTGGTGTATGTCTATTATTATTCAGCCTGAGCTCGAGACTGTCACGAGGTGTGCAGCCTCTAGTGTCGAACTTTAGCATCTTCACGAGTGTGGTCAACAAACCAACCTAGCGTTGTTAGTTTAAAATTTATAGTTGTTTCAGGCATATTTCGTTTCTTTTCCGATAGCTGTTGGGCTCATTTTGTGCCTATAATCTAAGTGATTGTTTTCCATAGCATAATATTCTTCATGGCCGTGGCGTTGACCTCGGGCGCCATGATAATGGAGCGCAACGAGGGCATCCTCGAGCGGTCTTTAGTCAACGGCATCAGCGGCACCGAGCTGCTCTTCTCGCAGATCATCACGCAGTTCGTGGTGATGCTGGGCCAGACGGTGATGGTGATCGTCGTCGCGTTCGTCTTCTTCGGGCTGACGCAGGAAGGCAGCTGGTGGCTGGTGTTCGCCATCACGGTGTTGGCCGGCATGTGCGGCATGTGCTTCGGTGAGTATTTTGATCAAGGTGGATTTTTTATCTCTTCGAGCGAACGAAAAGGAAAGCCTATTCGCGGTTTTCGAGGTCATTATCTGACGTGGCGATGACGTTTTATTCGTATGAGTATTTCGTGATTGAGACAATAAACGATCATCAAAGGATGCTCATAATGCCAAAATAAGATCAAAATTTGTTGAATGTCCTGACGAATCCCGTTCATTTTGGTCCTTCGCCAAAGCTGTGTAGGAAGAAACTTCACTTCCAGCATGTTTCCCCCTCTAACCAAGGCAGATGGAACACTAGCCACAACTGCCCAGAGAAACCCAACATTTTTGTGTATTTATTTGCTGGAAATTCCACTCTGGATTCATCGGGAAAACAACCTCGAAACATAACACCAATTGACAGTCATATGCCCGAGATCACCTTTCGCCAACGTACTATAAGGAAGATTTTATTGGGTCTCAAGACCAACAAAGCTTGTGGCTTCGACGGAATCCCACCGATTGTTCTCAAGAAATGTGCTCCCGAACTAACACCTGTTCTCTGCAAGTTGTTCAACTACTCTTACAAATTGGGAATATTCCCGTTCAACTGGAAAATTGCAAGAATACAACCAGTTCCTGAAAAAGGCAAAAAGACCCAACCTAGCAACTACAGACCGATCGCACTGCTATCTATTATTTCAAAGATCATGGAGAAAGCTATCAACATCGAGCTCATGAAATACCTGGAACATTCAAGTATTATTTGCGATAGGCAATATGGCTTCCGTCACCAGAGATCAACTAGTGACCTGCTCGCTTACGTCTCACATATATGGCAGCAATCTTTCGAGAAATATGGTGAAACCTTAGCCGTGGCACTGATGTCTCCAAGGCATTCGATCGAGTCTGGCACCACCCCAGTAACACAGATTGATCCCAAAGATATAGGAGGGCATCGCATTCATGCCACACATCACATCCGTGACTCGGAATGTGAGTTTCACTGAATTCACAATGACTGCTATTATGGACCCTTTTGGTCATTTTATGATTCACATTACGATGCCAAATGAAACTCATCGTACGTATCAAGCGACTCCTCATTCAACATCAAAATTGATTTATTCCGTTTGTTACACGAATAGACAAGTATGTGAGGTTCGAGTGAGTCTCTTGTTTGTTATGAAGGCTCACAAAATCACCTACATTTTAAGTCTCAAATACAATAAAATGTGACGAATATTGCGAATGTTTTGTGAAATGAAGAGTCCCCTGGCAATACCAATTATGTTTTCTTGTGATTCGCATTGTTACCTAGTGAGACATGAATGTGACATCCCAGGGATGTTTGTGTTTACTGGGACGGACTCCTCGCCAAGCACCCCGTGGGATAATTCAAAAAATGATGCAGTAGTATAAGTCATTCAGACATTAAAATGAGAGTCAAATCGTAATCGTTACTTGACAGTTGTAGATAATACCTATTTATGATATGTGCTAAAAATGATATTTTATTTTTTGAGAAGGGAAGTTTTCATCCCTTCAAACAAAATAAAATCACTTTCAGCAGGTATATCATGCACTATTTTTTCCTCAAACACCAATAGAAGTCCAACTTAACGCATACCTATGTTTCATTAATTAATTGATCAAATAATAGCTTCGAGATTATCCAATTTCATCTAATCTATTAATGAAACAAGTTGCAAAGGTTTACAATAACCGAGTTGATTTGTCTTTGATGACAACTAACGTCAATAAATCACAAATTATTCTTTCTCGTTTCTTTGTTGCTCGATAGGAAGTGTTCAAGAAAATGAATTTCTACCGCCGGAAATTTAAAAAGCTGCCAGTAAAGCTGCTTTTGAATTATTGCCTAGTTAGTCAGAGCGACAGTACGAGTTTTCTTTCCATATTTTCCCATAAAAACCGACCGATGGTAGGAAGGTAGGAAGGATAGTATCATTGAATATAACCGATAGTGATTCATTGATTCAATGATATTCTCGTTTAGGATCGAGCTCAATTCGAGATATTTCAATGCATAAATAACAAGAGCACCTGTGAGAATGAAGCCAACTACCCTCTGCGTTCCTTCTCCGAGTGGATTTGTGGTTATGTATGTTTTTGTTTACCAGTTTTACTTCTTCTATTTTTCTTTTTTTATGAAAATTCATCTGAAGCAATGATGATGCACACGCTAGATAGTCAACGCCTGTTTAAAAATTGGCAAGGCTCCGATGGAATCTAACAGACCGGCGGCTAATCGGCTGTGCTGATCCTTTGATCAAATATTAATATCTGGGTCGGTGAAATACGCGGCGTTATAATGAATTCTTACTATACATTCTTACATTCACGGTGCCTATCTACACCTTTTTCAATTGTAATTCAGAAAGTGTAACTTGTAATTCAGATTAGTAAAATGTAAGTCAGAAAGTGTAACTTGTAATTCAGAATAGTTAATTGTAATTCAGAAAGCGTCAATTGTAATTCAGATTAGTCAATTATAATTCAGAATGTATAACATGTAATTCAGATTAGTGAAATGTAATTCAGAAAGTGTAACTTGTAATTCAGAATAGTCATTTTGTAATTCATAAAGCGAAATTTGTAATTCAGAAAGCATCACTTGTAATTCTTAAACACTATGGACTTAAATAAGGGTAGGGAATAGAAATCAACGAATGGTTTATTGTGTGGTGAACATCTTATATTTATCCACCAACGGGCATATCTTGAAATGCCAGAGCTGAAGCATGGTGAATGGTGGTGTGTTGTGCAATTTATTTGACATTCATTTGATATTTCGAGTTACTTTCTATGATAACATGGCTTTGATTGTTGGTGGCTTGATTTACGTTAATGTCTCAAGGAGAATGGATAGATGCTTTCTGAATTACAATTGACGGTTTCTGAATTACATTTCACTATTCTGAATTACAAGTTACACTTTCTGAATTACAATTCACTAATCTGAATTACATATTACGCTTTCTGAATTACAATTAACTAATCTGAATTTCAACTTATACTTTCTGAATTACAACTTATACTTTCTGAATTACATCTTATACTTTCTGAATTACAATTGAAAAAGGTGTAGTGTGTGTATGATCTTTGTCTGAAGGCAATTTCCCCATTCTTTTTAGGCTTCGTGGTGTCGTGCGCTTGCGACAACGAGCGCTCCGCCACCTACATGGCCCTGGGCAGCTTCCTGCCCATCGTGATGCTGTGCGGCATCATCTGGCCCATCGAGGCCATGAACGACTACCTGAAGCTGGTGTCGACGGTGTTGCCGCTCACGCAGGCCACCGACAGCCTGCGCTGCGTGCTGGCCAGAGGCTGGGGCATCGCCAATCCCGTCGTGTACAACGGCTTCGTGGCGCTCACCGTCTGGATACTGCTCTTTTTGACCATCAGTATACTGGTGATCAAGTTCAAGAAGGGGTAGACGGGTGGGCGTGGTCGGCGGGGGAATACAAAGGGTCAGTCATAAAGTTGGCGTCATGATGAAAAATGGCCTTCTCGGTCGGAGTCACGTTACTTTCTCTACATGTCAAAAGTAATTTTTTTTTCTAATTTATAATAATAACATTTATTGATCCCAAGAATAATAGGTATATGTTTTATCAAAAGTCATTCGGAGCACCTCTAGCAGCACACGGCGACGGCGGGTTTGAAGTTCTTTTTGAAGTGAGTGCGAAACGCTCCAAATTACTTTTAATAAATTATACATGCTTATGGAGGAATACAAAAAAAAAATATGCAATAAAATGAAAGCTTATCTTTCATTCAGTTCAATCAGAAATAATTATTGATACAAGGAGAGAGGAAAATGTATTTCTTCAGTTCACTCTTATTAAATTTTGTGACAAACTCAATAGATTTTATTCTGTTGGGTGGGCTATAATAAATATTTATTCCGCAAAAATATAATGATTTTTTTCCAAATTGGGTTTTTATTTTGACAGTTTTCGAATGTTCACTTAGTCTGGAATATTGCTCATGGGTATCAGAACTGATATTAATACTGAATATAGGCTGATTTGTTCGAATTTCAAAAAAGTTGACTGAGGAAAATTGGTTCTATTACCATTTTACACAATGACGTATACAGTGAAGTGCACAAAAAACGGCCAGTGGTGTATCTTCTGAATCATTCTAGATCGGATTTCGAAAATTGGTGGATAGCAAGTATACCAAATTGTTCATTAATTGACAAAACAATTTCTGTTCAATCACTTCCGGTCTCACCAAAAACGACCCTAAGTTTTGATTTTTCAATGGAACACCCTGTATTTTATTCCATAATCGGTTAGGGATTATTATGACGAATTCATCGATACCGGGTTTGATAGGGTTAATTCAAACGATTACGCAGATATTCGCGTTCTAAGTTTCCATATGCTCAATGAGTGTGACAGAGAAAGAAGTTTTGATATTGCGAAGTCACACCCATTGAGCATATGGAAACTTCGAACGCAAATATCTTTGTAATCGTTTGAAATAACCCTATCAAACCCGGTATCGTTGAATTCGTCATGATAATCCCTAACCGATTATGGAATACAATACAGGGTGCCCTATTTAAAAATCGAAAGATAGGGTCGTTTTCGGTGAAACCGGAAGTGATAGAACAAAAATTGGTTTGTTAATTAATGAGCAATTTGGTATACTTGCTACCCACCAATTTTCAAAATCCGATCTCAAATGATTCAGAAGTTACAGCACTGGCCGTTTATTGTGCACTTCTCTGTATGTCTCGAATAAAGTAGTTTGATGATATTTTGATAGATGACTTAAACATCATTTTAGTACTGAATAAAATCTATTCAAAATGAATTTCGCTCCTGAATGACGATACATCAACTTTGCATCAAATATTATTATTATTATTATTTTTCAAAGAAAACTATATTCTTTTCGATAATTATAGTGATTGAAAGTTGGTAGAATGATGAAGCTACTAAAATGGAATAGGTTTGTCGGTGTTCATTTTTTAATATTACATAGTGCGTTGGGTTGGTTCAGAAAAGTATAAGAAGCTACCAGCATGAAATTTGGAATACATGATGAGAAATATATAGGAAACAAAAAACCATCGAGACACAAGCTGTGTCTGGAATATTTCTTCCGCCATTTTCTAAAATGGCGGCCGAAAACTAGATTTTTGCTGATATCTCAAGAACGGTGCAAAATTTTGGAAGATCTCAAATTCATGAAATAAAGAACATTACAAGGCGGACATTTTTTGTCAGAAACATTTTCTTGTGAGGCTGATATTGAGGTCATTAAATTGAATATATTCATTGGAAAATCCTCGTTTTCTCAAAAACTCATTTAAAATATCAACAAATACCCCGTTACCAAGTATCCCTACCTACCCATAAAAATCCTCCTGACACACGTGTTCATCTAGAAATATAGAAGATCTTCTTTAGCCTGTTTATCAGCGGCAAGTCACAGTGTAGGAGAAGATACAGCTCAAAACGAAGTTTCATGTTGTTCCGCTGTAGTTATCGATGGTGCTGCACTGGTTCATTCTTTGGATACAAAAACATCGAAGACATTCTCTGAATATTGTACCAAAGTATTTCTATCTGCTATAGACTTTCGTCTCCGAATATTTGAAAGTCTTCAGTAAATTTTTGCAGTGTGATAACAATAAGAAACAACTATTCAAACTCCTTGCTACCAAAATAAAATTACTCGAGACTGATGGAAAGTTAGTGATTTGCACTGATGAAGAATCAGTAACATTTGTTGGTTCGTTAGTTGATGGTGTTGATCTCGCACCATGCTCACATGAAGAAGTAGATACTAGACTTCTTATTCACGTAAAAAGTGCAATATTGTGGGGCCATAAAAACATTTTGATAAGTACAGTGGATTCAGATGTCATTGCTGCTGCTAAATTCCACGAGTTGAAGCAAATGGGTATGCAAGACCTTTGGTTTTGAATTTGGAGTTGGAAAAAACAGACGCTATTTCTCACTGTCAGTGATCCTGCGAGGACTCTCTGACAGTGTACAGTGTGTCCAGTTTTCGATGCTTTTGTGTGATACCTCAGTTATCTTTCGAGATAGAACCTTGCGGTTTTCGCGGTCCTGTACCACTTTTCTGTGAAACTCAAGATGGCCTAATCAGATTTTGCATAACTGTTTGCGTTCATGAGATACAGGGCGATTTTGAAAATTTATACTTTTTGGACCCCCTCTATATCTAGGAAGTTTCTCATCGAAAATGTCAAATTGGATTCTTATCCCATACAGAATTTTGCGCAGAATTCAGTGGCGCACTCAAATTTTTTTTCTGGGTATGGTTTCGGAGATACGACTCAAACTTATGATTTTTCAAATGGAACACCCTGTATTTTGTAAGCTCATTAAATTTCTTATTTTTTCCCCATCAAAATGAAATATGATGAATATGTATGAAATTTTCAAAAATGCTCCAAAATCACTAAAACATTGAATTTCAATAGTGGGCTATGGATTTTTCATTTAAAAAAAGTTCCAATTGAATAATATTTCAATCGATTCTTCCATGAAGAGGACAAAAACAATCCCAACACTAGTTAATTAAGATAGCACAAAAATTAGGTACCTGATAGCAACAAATGAATGGTAATAAAAAGTTCATATTCTAGAATAATCACCTGATTTAATATATATATATATATAAATTAATCAGTAACTTATTTATTGAATTGTTAAAATTGATATCCACTTTCCCTCACACGCTTTCTCAATACGTCTTAATGCATTCAAAATACTTAAAGGATGTCTTTGTAATTCCTGGAAAACTGCCTCTGTTGTTGCACGAAGTTCTTCAACATATTTGTGACTCTCACTGTATCAAGACGTATTGAGAAAATGTGTCAATTGTGTGTTATGGAAAATGGACAACAATTTGAACGTTTCAGTGAATAAGTTATTGAATAATTCCGATATTCAATTGTATTTGTAAATATTCAATCTGGTGCTTATTCTACATTATGAACTTCTTATTACTATTTATTTGTTCCTATCAGGTACATAATTTTTGTGTTTTCCTAGTTAATTAGTGTTGGTATTGTTTTTTTCCTCTTTATGGAAAAATCGAAATGAATATTTCTTCAATTGGAACTTTTTTATAAGAAAAATCCATAGGCCACAATTAAAATTCAATGTTTCAGTGATTTCAGAGCATTTTTGAAAATTTCATATACATACATTATAAATCATTTTGAAGAGAAAAAAATGAGGAATTTTATGAACTTATAAAATACAGGGTGTTCCATTTAAAAAACCATAAGTTTGAGTCGTATCTCATAAACCATACCCCGAAAAAAAATTTTGAGTGCGCCACTGGATTCTGCGTAAACTTTCATATGGGATGAGATTCAAATTTGACATTTTTGCTGAGAAACTTCGTAGATATAGAGGGGGTCCAAAAAGTATAAATTTTCAAAATCGCCCTGTATCTCATAAACGTAAACAGTTATGCAAAATCTGATTAGGCCATCTTGAGTTTCACAAAAAAGTGGCACACGATCGCGAAACCCGCAAGGTTCTATCTCGAAAGATAACTGAGATATCACACAAAAGCATCGAAAACTGGACACACTGTACTGCTCTATGCACGTGTGATGGACAGTGTACTCAATGAACATTATTTGTAATACTGTTGTATTAGTTAGTTCACCAAGATTCTTACAGATTTAATCGAACCTAATTAAACATCAAGCCTATAACTTGATTGATATATGATTTTATTTAGATTAAAATAATTGACCGCCATTTTACGTAATGGTACCTTCGGTTTGTATCCTCAAGAGAGAGTTCATCATACAGATAACTCATGATCATGATTTCTGTGGCTAATCTCAGCCTGAATGTTTCCATTTTGATTTTTCTTGAGAAACCTTGAAAAATTGAATTTTAATATTTCGATTATTGGATTTTTGATTCGTTTGACAAAAAAATGTTTCGAACAAAAAATGTTCGCCTTACTATCCTCTATATTTCATCAATTTGAACTTTCCCGATATTTCCCACCGTTCTGGAGATATTAGCAAAAATCCAGCTTTCGGTCGCCATTTTGAAAAATGGCGGCTGAAATATTCCAGATACAGCGTGTGTCCCGATGGTTTTTTGTTTTCTATATATTCAGACAACATGTGTACCAAATTTCATGCTGGTAGCCAGAATAGCAATATTCTTGTGCTAACATAAGGCACTAACAGACATTTCGTAGATATTGAAAAAATATCAAAATTAAAAGTTGAAAGAGAACATTCAAATACGAAACGCATGTATAAAATTGTAGACGAAACAAATTTTCTCAAAGCCTATATTCAGGGATTAATTTGAAAAAAAATTAACTTTTGACATATAACGAAAATCACGTGACCGCGACCGAGTAGTCCATTTTTCATATTTTTTTTAAGCAAAAAAATAACGCTCAAGTCATTTTGTCCATATGATGCCGACCTTCTTAACACAGTATTTTCTATCAGAATGGTATTTTAACGGAACTATAATTCAACGGACCAGTAATTCATCGGAATTTGAAACATCATGATATAATCCATCATGGTATTGAAATAAAGGAATGTATAGGGTGGCTGGAATACGAGCGTCCTTATTGCGTTCTTGTAAACCAGATACAGGGTTGGATTATGGCAAAGTTGCGCGATTTCATGCCTAAAAAAATGTCGTTTGAAAGTTGGAAGATTCCGAATACTTCCAAAGATTTTTGAAAAAAAAAACGAATATTCGCGTTTTCATTTTCATTTTTTCATAGCTCTATTCAAATAGATGCAACAAATCATATTTCTCATTATCATTGCTACTTTTTCCAGCCACCTGTAGGAACGTAAAACATCATACCGTATGTAATAGGGATGGTAATTCATGATAACCGTATTTTATCAGAATCGTATTCTTACGGAACAGTATTTCAACAAACCGTATTTTATCAGAAAAACAATTCATCGAAACATAATTTTATCGCGATAGACTGTTAGAATCGCATCCTGTCGGAATCGTATATATCAAAACCGTGAAACATCATAATCGAATTCTAACAGAGCTATGAATAATCAGAACTACTGTTCTCACAAATCAATGTCCCAATGGAATACAGTTCCTATAAAAAAGGTTTTGATCAAATACGATTATGTTTCTGATGAATTACAGTTGTGATCGAATACAATATACTGATGGATTAAATTTTGATGACTTACGTTTGTTATTTTACATCGTGCTCGAATCTAATTTTGTATCCCACTTTCATTGTCCCCCTCCCTATTATTTTGCATTGCAATAGAAAACCATTGAAAAAGTGAAAGAATAATCAGGTATATTTTCTCATATGTGAGGTCGGATGATCTAACGAAAACATCAATCTTTTACGTTTTTTTAAACTGTATCTACCTAGTTCTTACTTGTATTCATCTGGTTGTGCCTGTTCATATTTATTAGTAGTTTAAGAGTTGATGAGGGTAGATGATGAGGATCAGACAACTTGTCAACCTTCATTGGACTGTTTTCTCGATGAAGACAAGCTTATGTGAGCCTTGAAATGACTGGTCAAGAATTCTTGTGTTTTTAATATGTGTAAATGGATCAGTTACATACTATGATTATAATTATTTGCTATGTAATCTTTCAATGACAGGTAATCTGGAAATGGCACTGGTGAGGTTGAAGGTGATGTCAGCTGTGCATTTCCTGCCATGTGTGAATATTATATTTTAGTTGTTGAATACTTATTATATATCACTTTATTGCATTCCGTATATCAGTTAACCCTGTATACAGAATAGGTTGTTAATAGGGAATCTGATCGACAGATTCACTTGTTGATTTTCTATCAATATAATAATAATTCAAATGGACTTTTATTAGACATAAGCTACAGTTTTATAAGCAAACATTCAGAACATTGGTCCTTCGAGCCGGATATATGACAAATGACACCTAACCACACTAGTGCCGCCACGCGGAAGCAATAATGGATATCCCTGCTGTTGATAGAATTCACCTCAATTGACCAAGGCATTTCAAAGTTCCTATACTTACTTATGGTAGATACGTTGAAGTTTCTGCTGCATTTTTTTTTTGTTTTCTTGCCAGTTTACAAGATATTTATTATCAAAAAACTTATATTTTTTCATTTCGTCGACCGTTTTTCTCGGTTGAAATTCCTCTATTATATTCAAATACATAGGTAAATATCCCAAATAATTATTCTAGGTACTTTTGAATTTGACTGTACAACCACTTGTGACATATATTGTCAATTAATGATGTCACTTTGGCTATCTACTGACGTGAAAAAAAAATGAAACGTCATGTTGGCCAGAGATATTGATGGAATCACCTGAATTCTGCTTTATTTCGTTTGCCTAACGTAATGCCAGTATTTTTGCCAGAAACGTTTCGGAGTTTCGAATATAATAAAGCTCCAAATGTGAATATTATGTATATATACATATTACTTATTTCTTAGCGTCATTATTTGATTCCATGTTGTAATGAGGGTGTAGAAAACTTGTATTTTGAGGTGTCAGTAAGGGTTAATAATGGTGCTCAAATTAGAAAATGTGATTTGTGATTATTAGGATTGTACTTATTATACTTTCAACTGAAACTTAGTAAATTATTTGATGTTTGATTATAAATAAATAAATGAATAAATAAAATGTTAGTGTGATATTTTTTACTGCCATGAGGGAGGAATGATTATAATCCTTGTTAGAGGAATGCATCAAGGTACGTCACCCTTTCGAGTTTCCTAGATTTCAAGGGAAAATCGAAGAAAATAATTGGAAAAACAGATAGAACAAACAAAACATGTATATTTTTCTCCAGTTCAAATATGTACAAATCCATAAGACGCCATACATACGAAAATCGCTAATACTGCCAACAAACAATTTCCTCAGTATATGCATGTATATTGTGGGCATACCTTAACTTGGACCTTAACTGAAGGCATAAGTGTTCAGAGCCAATACAATCTCGGGTCATCCCTTCTCACTTGTAGCTTCACTACATGCTTGTAAATCTTCAATGCAGGGCCCAATTTCAAATTCAAATTTGTCAAAACATCCAATCGCTTCAGTAAAAGTAGAGACCGACCATCAATTTCCTGGAAAAAAAAATTGACCTAGTTATTCGATTGAAAAAGGGGGTACATTTCTAGGCGCCTCAAACATTGACATTTTACGTCAGTTCGTGGCACTCAAGACCAAAAAAAAATACACATTAATTGCGAAAAAAGTTCAAACCAGTGCCATGAATTGAGAAGGATATTAATTCCTCTGTGGAAAAATCATCGCACATTCACACCACTTCCAAATAGGAAATTCAAGAGGATGCTTCAGATAAACCATCTTAGCCATTTCTGTATAAATAGCTTATGACAAATAATCACATAATGATAAACCCTTGACAACATAAGTGGCAGAAACTCATACTTATTATAATTATAAACTCAGTTGTTATTTAATATGAATTTGTTCAAGATGAACGTGGTGGCACCGCAAAGTTTTGTAGTGACAAGTAATGATCGTAAAAAGAAATATGATTTGACGTTTGTGTTTGTATTGTGTTGTAATATATGATTTTCAACTTTAACTTGCCCTGTCAGGATTTGTTTCTATTCTTCATATCTGAGTAGATACACAGTGGCAGAAGGGGCTATGTTACACAAAACATCAAGAACACAATGGAAAAAGGCGCTATGTGTCCATTATTTACATGTCAGGAAGTGGAAAAAGGGGTTATGTACGCATGGATCATATGTATATCAAAAAATGATATGATAGAAAAATGCGATAAATCATAAAAAAACAACCTGAAATTATTCCTCACAATTGCATAAATCGAATTATTAAACTCGCTTTCATTTAAAAATGCCAGCTAACTCTACTAAAACCTATTTTTCTCACAAACTCATTTTTGTAACATAACTCCTTCCGGAAACTAGCCTCAGCTACTCATTGGGGAAGTATGCTTCAGTTTTCCAAGCAGAGGTGTACGCAATTCTCCAATGTGCGGAAGAAAATAACAGGAGAGCTGTGGAAAACGAGCAGTTCCGGATTATGTCAGACAGTCAAGCGACACTTAAGGCAATAGAAAGCCAGGAAGTGACATCTCGACTGGTATGGGATTGCAAGAGGGAACTGAGAACTTTGGCAGACCGGAACTGCGTCAAGCTAATCTGGGTGCCAGGTCATCAGGGGATCGGTGGCAATGAGAAGGCTGACGAACTCGCAAGAAGAGGGTCGGACAACGAGCCAGATCCAGGACAGACTCTTGGAGTACCAAAACGTACAGCACGAGGGTCAGTTAAAGACTGGATTCAGGCAAAACATAAGAGCTACTGGGAAAACATCCCAAGAAACAAACATGGGAAACAATACATTAAGGAACCAAGTCATAAACGAACTGTAGACCTGCTCAACTTGAACAGAGCACAGATAAAAACTGTTACGGGACTCATGACTGGCCACGCGCCAGTAAAGGAGCATCTCACCAGAATGGGACTGTACGATGGAGACCCAAGCTGCAGACTATGTGGCAAGGAACCAGAAACAGTAGCACATATACTGTGGCGATGTGAGGCATTGGACCACAGAAGACAGAATATCTTTGGGCAACAAGTTGGCGAACCAGAAATATTCAACTCACATCCAGTGAAGGATTTGTACAGACCTGTTCAAGGTACAGAGATAATGGAGTGGGCACAATAAAGAACATTAGGTAAGATAAAATGGGCCACCATAGGCCTAAGTGTCGTCGGAGACATGGTCAGACGAGCCTACAAACGGGGTGGAGTTTTTAGTGGGTAAACCCTGGCTAGAGTCAGGGGAGTCCCACACCACCTCGACAAAAAAAAGCATAACTCCTTCATCCACTTGCCCCTTCAATTTTTATTGAACTCATAATTCAAAATCCAATTTTATTTAAAAAAACTAACCAGTCCTCAAATTTCAACTTAATTAGAGCTGAATTAGGTGAACTATCGATGGATTTTGTCCCGTAGAATAATTCGTCAATTATTGTAGTTATATTCGTGTGCTCATTACATTTTCACACACACAAATGTCAAATTTTATGCGCACTCATAAAAAGTATGCCACATTGTTCATTATTTTCCTACTCTTTTCAGTTATCAAAACATATCTAGAGATTTTGAGAAAGATTATATTTTCAGTCTGTGTTCAATCATTAGTCTTTCGAAAAGAATATTGTCAGAGTATATCCGTGTTCAATACTTCATCAAATATTTTGTATATTATATATCTTTTTCCCCATATAATTTCATCATCACTAGTCATAGATTTCCGCCCGTATAATTCCATTATCATCATTAGTCATAGATAAATCAATTGTTCGGAAATTAATCGGTTATCAGCATGATGCAACTAATTAGTCATTCATTCGGGACCAGGTGGTAAATCAAGACAGTCGTATATTGATGTCATTACGTATGGTTGAATTTTGTGATCGGCATCGAAAAATAAGCGAAAAGAATTATGTATCGTTACAAACTGAGTGTTCCCTAAAAACTGAGTGATCGTATTGATTCGTATATAGTGTTTTTGTATCCCTCATTCGATCCAATAATGATAATATCGGGATGGTGTGTTGTTCTAGTGTTTCGTGTTGTTTCATCGAAGCCTCACTTTTTTCACGCTGGTGAGTGCATACAAATTCTCTCAATTTTTCCTCATATTTCTCTGTATTCATTTAACTTCATTACCCTATACAGGTTATGTCACGACGAGCTTACACTATATTTAAATCGAGAATCAGTCGGGAGAAATCCATGAAAATGTGCATGCTTATATTTTGGTATACGCTCTTTTCATTTAAGATATGTCCGACAATGCAGTGTTGCCACTTCTACTAGAAAGTAGTAGCAACATTGATATTTCGAACGGAACACCCTGTATTTCATCGCATTTTTAGATTCTTCCTGAAGAGCTGATTTCATCGATATATCATACTTGGGGGCTATCGAAAATGATTACAGAGATATAGGGTGTTCAAAATCGATATTTTTTTGTGTCGAAAATATTCATTATCGGTCAAAACGGCTCACGTATCCCTATCTCAACTTTAGTTTCACTATCTTCTGATATTTAATCGGAACAGGGTGGTTCAAGATTCAGAATTCTGATCACATGCCCTGTATGTTTCGTACCGTTTGTTGTATTTTCTCCGATCAAGGAATAATTTATTCTGATTTTCGTGCTTCCTGTTCGAAACTGTATCTTTTAAGAATTTACCATCTTCAATAACTGTGATACAGAACGTAATCTTGATTTTGGCAAAATGTTCATCAATGGTCAGGTCATAACTTTTGAACCACTTGGTAGGTATATTCAACTCATATTTCTCATCAAAACTAAATTTGAATCGAATTTAGAATCCAGATCCGTCTCCAGGCAAAACAAAAAACTCTTTTTTTTAACAGTGCGCATCCAATTTGAAAAATAGTATTTCTATTGAACTCGTTATTCAAAAAATCCAATTTTATTACAATAAAATAACCAGTCCTCAAATGTCAACTTAATTAGAGCCGAATTAGGTAAACTATCGATTGATTTCGTTCCATAGAACAATTTGTCAATTATTTTAGATATTTTCGAGTGTTCATTACATTTTCACACACACAAATTAATTGAGTATTTTACACTCTTGAATTTTTGTACGTGGATTCGTATACCGAAATTATTTATTTTACTATTGTCAGTAATTTTATATACACATACAGGGTGTTACTTAAGTACGTGTAGAAAATTCAGAAAATCATGTTGCTGACATATCCGAAAGTTATCCGTTTCTGAGATACAGAGAGACCTGTTTGAGAGAAAACTAGCTAGCAGAAAACATAGCTGGGGAGGCAAGCCATAAGATGGAAGCTTGGCGAGGAGTCCGTGGTGCCAGACTCGATCGAATGCCTCATATTTTTCAATAAATTGCTGCCATATATGTGAGACGTAAGCGAGCAGGTCACCAGTTGATCTCTGATGTCGGAAGCCATATTGCCTATCGTTGAGAATACCTGAATGTCCCAGGTATAAAGGGCGTGAAATGTGATGCTCCATGCACTTGACCCTAGACCACACTCACCTGCTCCTTGAATATCTTCGCCTCCTCGGGAAAATACTGCGCGAAATACTGGTACACCTCGTCGGCCGTCCAATGCGTCGCGTCCGGAATGGACGGATCGATACCGCGCCCGTCCCCTCCCTCCTCCTCATCCTCTTCTTCCTCCTCCTCCTCCTCTTCTTCTTCTTCTTCTTTGGCGCTGCGCGAATCCTCGAGGCCCGGGGACTCGCTGTCGGCCGACTTGATGCGGCCGCCCCTCCCTGTCGTCGTCGTCGTCAAGGTCGTTTGGGGGCTGAGACGGGGGGGCGATGAGGAGGGGGAGGCGGTGGCGTAGGAGGGGGAGGAGCTGCGCGAGTTCGAGCGGCTCGCGTCGCAGTTTTCTGTCGAAGATGGTCGGGGTTAATTCGCGAGGTTCACGAAGTGGGCGACATCTAGGTTATATAATACGAACTTCAAACTGGGGGAAAACAAACTGTTGTCTATGGATAAAGTGCATAGACTACATTGCATTCAGCTTGCTGTACCTGTAGTCAAACTTGTCAATAACATAAAGTGTTGGCACTGTTGGTAATGATGATGGTTGAGTTGGTTAATTTTTCTACATTACATTTTTATTAGTTACGTGAACAGTGAAGAGGTGAAGAATTGGAGATAGTTTAAACAATTCAAACTAATTATGACGAGCAAATCAATTGACATATAAAAGAACAGCTAAAACATGTTTACAATACCCAGATTGTCCTGCTTTGCATGAACAAATACAAATCCATTGTTCTACAGGAGTTCCTCTGGACCCCAACATTCAATTTTACTTCATGTGGGAAAGATTTCATCGCCGAAGTTTGTAGACAAAGTGCAAAAATGTGCCTTTTGTTGAAGTCTTCTGCCTCACACAAAATCACATGATTAGCACGAAGAACTGCTTCGCCTTCCACTACTGGTCTGCTTGTTCCATATAAATAGTACAAGATATCTGCCAAAAGAACATCTACAATAGGCCTTTTCGATCGAATATTGACAATTAATGTCAAGAAATTCGAAAACTTATCACTCTTATCAGTACACAGTACACAAGCTAATGGCACTAATGGGATTGAGTGAGGATTGAGTTTGTTTTCCCCCAGTTTTGACGTGGCTTTGACATGGAACGATGAAAACCGAGCGCCACCTGGTAACATTGATTCCCGCGAATTATTCGTGCCATCCAGCTTGTGTACTGTGTACTGATAAGAGTGATGTTTCTAAATTTCTTGACATTAATTGTTAATATTCGATCGAAAACGCTAATAATGCTTGTTGCAGATCTTTTGGCGGATATTTTGCTCTATTTAGATGGAAAAATCCGACCAGTAGCAGTTCTCCGTGCTTATCATGTGATTTTGTGTGAGGCAGAAGACTTCAACAAAAGGCACATTTTTGCACTTTGTCTACAAACTTCGGCGATGAAATCTTTCCCACATGACGTAAAATTGAGGTTGGGGTCCAGAGGAACTCCTGTAGAACAATGGATTTGTATTTGTTCCTGCAATGCAGGAAAATCTAGGTATTGTAAACATGTTGTAGCTGTTCTTTTATGTCAATTGATTTGCTCGTCATAAATAGTTTGAATTGTTTGAACTATCTCCAATTCTTCACCCGTTCACTGTTCACTTAACTAATAAAAATGTAATAATGTAAAAAAATAAACCAACTCAACCATCATCACTATCAAACAGTGCCAACACTTTATGTCATTGACAAGTTTGACTACAGCTACAGCAAGCTGAATGCAAAGTAGTCTATGCACTATATCCATAGACAACAGTTTGGTTTCCCCCAGTTTGAATTTGGTATTATGTAACCTAGATGTCGCCCACTTCGTGAATCTCGCGAATAGACCGGCAGGTTGTGAAAGATTTTTGCACGTGCTTTCACCTAGGATCCATTGATGCAAACTGACGTATTTGTCATCTAACAGTGTACAGACAGATCATAGCTCCTTTCTCTTTTTTCAACTTTAGGATTCCTTTGTGTGGAAACTCTTCATTATCTGTCAAAATGGCTCACATGTCCCTATATCAACTTTTAATTCACTATTTACTGATATTCAATCGGAACAGATATAGGGTGATTCAACATTCAGAATTCTGATCATCCCCTCTCCCTGGGTGTATATTCTGAAATGTATCAGTTTTGCTAGGAAATATCTACAAGAGCTACAAAGGAATTCAAGTATTCACAATTACAATACAAGACATGGTGGCTTACTAAGAATTCCAAATCATAAAACTTCCAAATACAAAAACTCTCCATTATTCAATGGGACCATTCTCTACAATAAACTGCTAATTTCAATAAAACAAATTATTCCTGACAGAAAATTCAATAATACAGTTGTAGACCTGCTACTGCAAAAATGTTATTATACAGGGTGTCCCTAGACCAGTGGGACAGTTAAATATCTTCTGCACCAATCGGAATTTTCAAAATATTATAATTCCACATCATATCGCATCATGAGTGCTATCTTCAGGAATGACTATATTTTCTACGAGGGGCACAAGAAAGGCTCACAAAATCGAACATCAATTTTTTCAAATGGAACACCCTGTATTTTATTACATTTTCATAATCTCCTGGAAGAGCTGAATTCAACGACCTAGCACACTTGGGCTCTAGCGGGAATGATTTCCGAGATATAGGGTGTGGAAAATCGAGATTTTTCATTTTTGGGAATTTTTTGTGTCAAAACTATTCATTATTGGTCAAAACGGCTTACATGTCCATATCTCAACTTTTGATTTACTATTCACTCGTATTTAATTGAAACAAATACAGGGTGGTGTAGAATTCTCAGGTTCAGTCGGAATTCCACACCACCCTGTATTTGTTTCAATTAAATACGAGTGAATAGTAAATCAAAAGTTAAGATATGGACATGTAAGCCGTTTTGACTAATAATGAATAGTTTTGACACAAAAAATTCCCAAAAATGAAAAATCTCGATTTTCCACACCCTATATCTCGGAAATCATTCCCGCTAGAGCCCAAGTGTGCTAGGTCGTTGAATTCAGCTCTTCAAGGAGATTATGAAAATGCAATAAAATACAGGGTGTTCCATTCGAGAAAATTGATGTTTGATTTTGTGAGCCTTTCTTGTGCCCCTCGTAGAAAATATAGTCATTCCTGAAGTTAGCACTCATAATGCGATATGATGTGGAATTATAATATTTCGAAAATTCCTATTGGTTCAGGAGATATTCAACTGTCCCACTGGTCTAGGGACACCCTGTATACAGTGTGAAAGAAATCATGGAAGATGTTCTGATTTAGAGCCTGAATTTATATTTAATTATACCCAAAAGTATACTGACTGTGATTTATTTTTTAAGGGTTGTTCCTTCTTTTTTGTTTTTTTTGCCTGTTTTGTGATATATGATGTTATATTCTTATATCTCATATTTATACATTTATATATTGTGTATTTATTATACTTTTGACATACCATATGTATGTACTAAATGTAGATACCTCAGTGGTGAATAAACATCTATATATCTATCATCCTATCTAATAATTATGGAATATTTCAATATTCTTGAGGAATATTCTAGGCATATTTAATGAATATTTTTGTGCTAAATGAGAGTAGATATTTTTCTTATGTTCTTTCATCTTTTTTATGACATAATCTTCCAGTCCAGCATTCAAAGTTCCATGATTTTCAATCTCTCCAGAGTAGTATCAAAATATATGTAAACACCATTTACATTTAACTTTGACTTACCAGTGAATTTGAATTTGTGTGTGAAGGAATTCCCAATGTTTGACTCAATCTCATTGATTTTCAACTGCTCAGGCATCTGACAGTTAATACACAGCCACTTCTGCCCAATTCGAAATTTTTCACCAATTTTTGGCTGATGACAACGAGCATGATAAGCATCAGCACATACAGAACAGACAGTAAGAGATCCCTAAAAAAACAAGCATGTCAACCTACATCAAATATACACATTTTGAAAGAAATCATCCTATTCAAACTTACAGCATCTGAGGTTTCAAAACATACTATACATGTTTTGCAGTGTGGGCATTGCCAAGTATTATCTGGGTACATTTTAAGCATCATGTCATCTCCATTCAGACAACTGAAATGTGCTGAAACATAACATAACGTATTAAAAAACCACTAAAAATCATCTAAACAAACTCAATTGTTGAAGAGAGCTTGATCAATCAACATAGAATCATAAAAATGTTACATATTGTTTCATTTAACTAAACAATATCAAACAGATGTCCTTTTACCTTTATTACTGCATTCTCTACATGCAACCATACGATCATTGGGCCCCCTTTTGTTCTGTAAGTGACAAACTGAGCATACCCCTCCTTGGTCTCTACCATAGCTAGAGGTTCGCGAATCAGGTCTACTATCATCACTATTAACTTTTGTGACTGTTTGTTTTTCAATAGTGGAACGATTCAGAGAACCAAGGGGGCGTCCTCTCTTCTTTGGGACATGGTTGTCTGATGGATCAAAGACCTTTTTTGCTCTCTATTGAAAAATGAAAACAAAAAAGTTAGGTTATTTAGGACATCAATGGTTGAAATATCAACATTCAATGAATTATTGGGTGGATTTTCATACTAATAAAACTAAAAAATATATTGACCTTCATGATAATCAATATTGAAAGGAAAATTAATCAACAAGTCAACAGATTGAATTTCTAAAAATTATTATTACTGTATACCACAGTAATAATAACTGCCCTAAATTACAATAATATGCTGATGTGGTCATACTAGCTATTTATTGTATAAGTTTTAAGAAAAAAAGTAGGTACTTTATATTTGGACATCCTGTATGATATTCACCAATCACCAAAAACACCAGAAATAAAAATAGAATTTTTGACAGCTGCCAGCAGTCCAGCACAATCAAAAATGAAATCACTAACCTTTCTCCTCCCACCAATCCTCAAAGTGCTGTCAGATTTCTTCTCATCAGCTGAGTTCGTGGAAGAATCCATATTCTCGAAACTCCCCAGCTTTTTAGGTTCTACTTTTTTCGACGTCTTTGCATTTCCAGGACCAAAATAATCATCATGTCCATTATCCTGATTTTTCGAATCTCTATCTCTCTTCGCCTCATTCCTTCGGAGTACCTCCATCTCTGCTTTCGCGGACTTCCAGTCATCCGCTTTCTCTTTCTCCTTTTTGATCACGTCATCTTCATCCCTGGCAGCGGGACCCATAAGGTAATGACCATTGGCCGTTCTTATCAGTCCGCCACTTTGCACTTCTTTTTCCAACAGGATGCTGATGTATTTTTTCGTGTAGCGTACACTGTCTTTCGCCAGAATGTTGCTGATTATTTCAGGACCGGGAACACCTAATTCCAAGTAGTCGGGTTCATCTACGATTAATTCCCCAAAAGCGTTCGTCAGCAGTTCGCTAAATTGCTTGATCATTTTGTCATTCCCAACGCCACCTTGAATCTGTTGATTTTGCTTGTGTGCTGTTAGTTTGGCTCGCGGGTCACGTTGTTTCATTTGAGCGTATTTCTTAGCTGCATTTCGATAACTTATGCTGCCTTTGTACTCTACTTTGAGCACGTAATTATTGGCAACACACCAGTCCAAATCTGATCTTGCCTCCACCGAGTTGATAGCAAATCTCCGGAATAAGTAATTACAAATTCTTTGTATATCCGGGCGAGCCTTTCGTCGCCGCAACTGGTCAATCGCCTCCAAAATACGCTCCCTATTCTTCGCCGAAGTCATACTGGCAAACAAATAAACGAAAATCAATGTCGCATTTAAGTGTCTAATACTAATAATGAATCTTTTTAGTTACTAATGAATATACAACTCATCAAACACGCGTGTATGAACGGAGAGCCCAGTAAAAAAGAAAACGACAAAAAATAAAACGGAATATTTATACACTAAGACACACGTTGCGCTTTGTGAACATTATCTTATCAAGATACACCTAGAGGTATATAGTTCAGGAGACGTATTAATTTACTGTTTCTTCTAAATACTGATGAGTTATTCTCATCTGATTTGTAGCACAAGTGAAATAATAATGAAATCTATTCGCTAGTAACACACCATCGCGGAACAATATCGAAATAAGGACGAAGACACACGAGGCACATTTTCGCCGAGCGTCTGCCGCGCGGCGGCCGAAGGTACCGCACACACGCAGTTTTCTTTTGAAACATGGTTATTGAAAATTGAACGCTGAAGAAGTGAGACGTTGTCAAGTGATCATGGATTCTGATGATGAATTCTTAACAATAATTGGCTTAATGTATTGCCGATTGAAGAAAAAGAGAATAGATGTATGTGGATTCACCCAATCGTGGAAAAACGTGCAGACAAGGGCTTGTTCAATCAATTTAATGAAACAATCAAAGATGATGAAAAGTTTTTCAATTTCGTTAGAATGTCCAGAGAGTCATTCAATGCATTACTCAGCTATATCGAAGGTGATGTTATGAAACAAAATACAGTGATGAGAGATAGCATTCCACCAGAGGAAAAATTATTACACTAGTATCAAACTTTCCGAATCAATTTCATCGTCACACATCATCGTGAAACTGACACACAAACAATATAAAATATTTGGCAACACGCAACGACTTCGAATGGTCGAGAATGCAGCCTCGTCTGTGCAGCTATATTGAACACCAATGCACGACGCGCCGAGCGTTTACCAAGCGCGACGAGCGTGACTAGGCGCAATAGGCGGCACATGGTCAAGATGATGTGACGCGCGTTTCGCCAGAGCTGTGACCAGAGATACCAATATTTATGCGCCTCGTGTGTGCGGTCATGTGTATTAGAATAAGACCACTATGCTGTCTCGGCAGCCGAGCGGCAGACGCTCGGCGAAAATGCGCCTCGTGTGTCTTTGTCCTAAAATGCAAGACAAAACGCTCGTTGCGCGCAGAAAAGCGGAGGCATGCGAAAGTACCTTGAGTTATATTTTACCTGAAAACGAAGTTATTTCTCGATGAAACGGCTCGATGTTTTCGGTTCCTGAGTCAGGAAGGCTTGAAGAACACAACTGTAGAGTTTTCGAGAGCGTGCGTCACATAAATTCAACGAAAAAGAATGCGAAAACCGGGCCGCATCTCACGCAACTTTGACAAACATTCGTCGGAGCGGTCGACTGTCGACACAGGTTTGATGTTGCGACAGCGACAGGGTTGTTGGAGCGTTTGGAGCTGGCTGTTGCGCGCGCCGATACCCGAAACTGTGTAAGATTGAAAAGATTCATTCATATTTTATGTATTTATAATTGAATCTACAATCTGTTGATTACCTTATTACCTAAGATAATTCATAACCTATCCGATCGAAACGAGAATAACGCAGGACTAGTCAACTACCTGATGTGTGATTCACTGTACTTTTTGTCTTGCTGAAAAAATTAAAAATCGTGTCGAGTATTTTGACTTTCACGTAGGCGTTTTCTTGATCCTTTGGTTTGAACTTGATCGAGACATAATTCGATCCCTTTTGCTTTTTGTACTCTCTGTACCCATATACCTGCATTGAGATTAATAAACGATTTCTGATGACGTATATTGCACACCTGTCGTAGCACACGACATTGCGGCATTTTATTTCGTATATTTTTGTCGCTATTTGTTGCTATTCATGCATGTTTGTAGTTTGTACAGGGTATCCCACATATATAAACATGGGCCACCCCCTTATCTGCTAAACTAGAATATACAGAATGTATAATGTATCTGAATTACACCGATAAAATTCAAGAGGTGATTCCTTATTGTGATAATTTTGGGAAGTTCCCATAAACATGTGCGTCCTACGTATATATATTAATTCGCATATTTCCTTGTGAAATCGTGTTTTCATTACTCAAATGTCTTTTCATCAATTTCAATAAAACGTTGTGGCAAGTTGTGGTTTTCTTCATAGTAATATGGAGCTTCTTCTGGTGCAATTATATTCGAAATAATATTTCCAGTGGCGTCACAGAGTGTGTAAATTTATCGATATTATATTTATGGTGTACGCCACGGGTTTTCCTCAGTTTCATATTCTTATTAGATTGAACTATTGAAATAACAATAACTTTTTAAGTCTCTATGTGATTTTTGTACCTAGCTTAGTTTCTGAGGAAACAATAATTAAAATATCGCACGACTATATAATAGCTGATTGAGATATAGTAGAGGAGTTGTATATTTTTCTATGAAACTTGATATAGATCTATGTCAGATAAAGCCGATTCCAGTGGCGTACGCGTTTTTTTTTCTAAAAAAATCACTAATAAATGGATTCTGGATATTTCGGCTTCTCAATGTGATCTAGTATGTCATTGTACCAGTATATATCACCTGACGAAGCTACTGTGTTAGCAAAACATGTTGTGTGTTTAAGAATTTTGTGGAAATCTTATCGTTTGTGAAGTTTTTACACTAGTAGGTCTTGGTTGGTAAAAAAAGTGAACGCCGCTTAGCTCCAAAATACACCTTTTCTTCCTCTTCATTTCGAACAAAGACCTTGAAAATAGAGCTCCATAAATAAAAAAAATCATGAAGGTGGCCCGCTCTCAAATGGGTCAGTTTGTATGATAACATATGTGTCTGAGGTCACCTGTTTCGGACTTAACTATGATCTTCAATAATTAGTCAAATTTCAAAGCCCTATATAGGAACGTTTAGAATTAAGTTTTTGATGCGCAGTTTTCGTCATAATTAACAAATTCGATCTATAATATGTTTTCTTGATATTTCGAAATAATTTAGAAATTTTGAATTTGTCAAGAGTGATGACGTATTTTCTGTTTCGGGACACTTCTCTGGAACACCGTAGAAAAGTTGGCGATCTGGTTCTATTTTATAGATATTTTCATGGAAGATATGCTCTTCTGAAATATAAACAATTGTTCCTCCTTTGGCAGTCCCCACGAGATTAACCCGACGAGTTGAGGATTATTCGCACCCCTTCGTGGTCACTCTGGAGACCTGCAGAACATCTCTTTCCAAAGACTCGTTCATCCAACGAACATCGAGGCTCTGGAACACATTGCCAAGGGAGGTGTTCCCCGAGGCATATAATCTCCAGAAATTTAAGAAGAACACCAATTCCTACCTTATTTCCCTTGGTACTCACGATGTTCTCTGAACATTACAGAGGATATCCCTTTCCGTGTGGGACACAGAACATAAAAAATGTGACAAACGCCTGTATAAGAGGCAGAAACGGATAAAAATTCGAATCACTGTGTTGAAATTAGGGCAAGAAAAACGGATTTAATAAATTATATGCCTATAGGGAAGACATAAAAAGTCCTCCCCGTTTCAACTTTTGAATGGAACAAAAAGATTTTTTTTTAAACCTATGAGGTAACGTATGTTTTGGACCTCTCAGAGTATATAAAATAATACACTTTCCGAATAAAAAGTACTTACTTACTTTTATTGCAGTATGCATTAATGTCTTACCTATACAGGGTGTTCCGAAATTATATAGAAAGATATATCAACCACAGATATTCTTGGAACAAAAATAGTAAAAACAGGTTATATAAACATGAGCCCAGAAATTGGGGAGTTACAGCCATCTAAAAGAGGGCTCATGTTCATATGAACTTTATTTTTTACTTTCTATTCCTAGAATCTGCTGTCGTTGAACTCTTATGTAATTTCGGGACATCCTGTATACAGGGTGTAAATTTGAAAAATTTCAATGCGAATATCTCGCGAAAGAAAAAAGTTAGAAAAACGCCGTTTGGCAAAAATGCTGAAGAGTTAAGGGGAACTAGAACCACCATATTTCGGTCAAGGGATGAGTCACCCCGTCGGCGCGACACACCCCAACTTTGAAATGTCAAATGGCACTACCTTTTTTGTGATGCCTCAAATGAACAGTCTCAGTCAGTAGTATTCACCTGTACAAGACTTTTTTTCCACCCACTACAGGGTGTACGAAAAATATAAAGTCGAATAAAATAAAATGAATTGTGTTAAAAGCATATTTTATTCGATCAGATGTTCAAAATGCATTCCATTCTGTTGTAAGCGATAGTATAATCGATGTTCAAATGCCATTCTAACATTTTGGAACACATCTCTTGGAATATATCGGCATTCTGCATTCTACTTTATTCGAATTTATGTTTTCCGTTCACCCTGTAGTGGGTGGAAATTAATTCTTGTACAGGTGAATACTACTGACTGAGACCGTTCATTTGAGGTATCACAAAAGAGGTAGTGCCATTTGACATTTCAAAGATGGAGTGTGTCGCGCCGACGGGGTGGCTCATCCCTTTACTGAAGTATGGTGGTTCTAGTTCCCCCTAACTCTGTGGCATTTGTGCCAAACGGCGTTTTCCAAACTGTTTTATTTAGCGAGATATTCGCATTGAAAGTTTTCAAATTTAGACCCTCGAATTAATGTTTTTCGTACACCCTGTAGTGGGTGGAAAAAAAGTCTTGTATAGGTGAATACTACTGACTGAGACCGTTCATTTGAGGTATCACAAAAGAGGTAGTGCCATTTGACATTTCAAAGTTGGGGTGTGTTGCGCTGACAGGGTGACTCATTCCTTCACTGAAATATGGTGGTTCTAGTTCCCCTTAACTCTTCAGCATTTTTGCCAAGCGGCGTTTTTCTAACTTTTTTATTTCGCGAGATATTCGCATTGAAAGTTTTCAAATTTACACCCTGTATAGGTAGTTGATGACCAGGAAGTATTTTACCACCTTGTATCTTCGTTGCCATTTTGAGTGGATGATTCAAATTTGGTAGAGGTACATCGATTTGATTTCATGAGTTAATAATTTTGTTAGTATCAGACCAAATATATGACACCAAGTCCATTCCA